CTGACTTGTTAAAAGCGTCAACTATTGTTCCAATTCCCAAGATACTACCGCCAAAAACAATCGAAGAAGATCTTAGACCCATTAGCCTTACATGTCAGATAAGTAAAGTTTTTGAAAGTCTAACCTTAGATAGATTAATGCCCGAAGTTGAACACCATATCGATACTAAACAATTTGCAAACAAAGGAAAATCAACAAAGGACGCCCTGGTGAGTATTCTACACAATATTCATACGGCATTAGATAATGGGATAGTAGAATATGTAATTATATGATGAAAATAATGAGGGGGTGTGGGAACCAAGAAAAAAGAACTGGAAATTGTATTACGCTCGGGCACCCCGAAGGGCGTGGTTATGGGCGTGGCGGGCCGTACGGACGGGGGGAGTTTTAGTGGTCACATGACTTGTGGAATGTTTTCGTTTCTCGGGTGGCCGGGGTTTGTTTTTCGAGTTGGGGGGGCGCCGCGCGCGTTCTTACGAGAACGTTTTGGGGGTCTGGGGCGAGATGTTACTCCGAAGCCATGGTCGACCGAAGTGCTGGGATTCGAAAGTTGGCGGGCTTTTAAGTTCGCGGTCGTGTGCGTCATTTCCGGCGTCGAAAGGGAAAGTGCGGCGCTTTTTTCAGTTGTCGCGTCCTTTTTAGCGTTTGTCGGGCTACCCTGTTTTAGGGTGTTTAGGGTGTTTGCGGGCATAATGAAATATAACACTGTTGGTTTTTTTTATTTATATTATTTGATATATTACAATTATTTACAATATTTGTTTATCTATTTTTTTGTTTTTACGTTCTTTTAATGCTTCGGTCGTTAGTTTTTCTAGATGAAATAGTTTTTCTAGTTTTTCCTTTTCCCGTTTTATTGTTTCTAAAGCTTGTTCGCGTTCTTCTGCAATGTACGTGTAGCATCCGAAATGTTTTACATTGTATGTTTCTATGGTTTCACTACACGTTGTTAAAATCGTTTTCCGTTTTTTCTCGCTACCGTCCAGAGCAAGTAGAATTAGATCTTGTGATGTTATTTTGTCTTGGTCCGACTGATCATTTGCGATACGCGTTAAATGAACGTGTTTATTAGGTCGACCACTGTTTGCTTTCCGTTTACGATTCGTATGGTTACTTTTCAGGTTGTCGATATTTTTACCCCGGGGTTTAGGTTTGGGTGGGGAAGCGGGTGGTGGTGTGGGTGGTGGCGGCGGGGGTGCACGTTCCAGTAATGGCGGCGGGGTATCGACACGCGGTGATATTGGAGGCGATTGGTTATCGCTACTTGTTTCTAGTACTTCAGTCGTGGGTTCTAGTAAATATTCTTCGTTGCCGAAGACATCGGGGTTTATTAAGTTTAGCAGATCTTGGTTGCTGTTTAATGCTTGATAGCTGTATACGGGAGAAGGGTTGATATAATTGGGCTGCTGTTGAAATATCATCGGACTTGCCATCGTTGGCTGTTGTAATATCGTTGAACTTGGCGTTGTTGGGTTATAGGTAGGTGCTTGCGTCATCCATCTGATGTAGGCTTTCTCGAATGTTGTAAGTTGTGGATGACTTAATCTGAAAAATTGAAAGTCCGTAAATCGCTGTATGTAAAACAGTCGATTTGCGTCGTTTTCTTCGACTCCTTGATACTCAAAGAAGAGCTTTAAATCTTGCTGTTGTTGTGTCGAAACCATCGTGCTGAATAAATCGTCTACGTAAAGTGTTGGGTTTACTATTGTAAAAGTAGATTACCCTATTTGGAATTGTTGTGTTTGAAGTAAATTACCTTTTATGGTCATGTAAATTACCTTATATGGGATGTAAGTAAATATGAATGATCGATTTATTTTTTAGTCATGAATGAAGTAATGCTAAGAATTCGGTTATTGACACGAAATGCGATAATGAAAATATGGGCGGATCCTAACATCTTATTCACCCTTTTGCTGACGTTGTTGTTTCTACTATGGATTCGATATTCGTGGCCGGAATGCACGGGTGATTGCTTCGAGACGATTACTGAAATTGTGCGCGAAGTTGGTAGTTCAACTATGCAGGTTATGGAAGGTAAGCAGTACGATAAGGGTTTGAAAAAACTTATACAACGTACTACATTGAAAGATCGATTAGTAAAACAAACGTCTTTTGTTTGGTATTATAAAGAACATGTTTTTTCAAATATAAAATACGTGCTAGATAGCGGGAGGTGTCAACGAGCGTATGGAATTGATAATTTTAAAATACGGTTGGTGGATTTGACCAGACGCGTGGAGCATTATAGTGTATGTCGTGTACCCATTGAGTTTAGAAAAGACGGTAGCGAAAGTTTTTTTGATCAAGAGTTTTATGGTTATCCGACGTTATTTTGTGTATTAGACGAAGCATTACAGGAAGTATATACAAAACCCACGGATGAATGGTCAATTATAAAATTGTTTGCAGGCAAAACAGGCGTGCTAATAAATTATGCGATGATCGAGGAAATTTTAACGGATTTACGTAAACAGGATTGTTAATTTTTTGTAGATCAAGAATTTTGAAAAAATGGGCGACGACGTGTACATTGATATTCTCGATACATATTTACCTACCGACAACATTCCCGAACAAAGTATACAGCAAGATGAGTTTGAACAGAAAAGTAACAATGTGCGTGACATACTAGAAAAGGATTTGGCGTTACATAGTTTTTTAACTACTTTCTCAAGAAAATGGCCCTTAAAATTACACATGTTTCGATCGTTGAGGATTTTTCAACAGGGTGAAATTGTAAAATTTCCACATATTTATTTTTATTTTTTGGGTATAACGATTTGCGAGAAAACGGGTAAACGGACAGTATCCGTTGGATTTATGTGTTGGAGTCGTGAACTTTATGCAACAGTCGACATTGTTTTTCATGTCTATCCTCGACTTTCAAAATACGTAATACCCCAAAAATATGGTTTACCCTACGTTGAAGTGTGCAATAAGGTTAACGTGTTATATCGCATCCCCGTGTTATTTAACGACGACGAGCCGAGCATTGAGAAATTTATTCGAGAACGTACGGCTGCCTATATAGAATCTATATCGGACTATTTAGGGTATGCTACGATCGACAAATCTCGTATGTATGCTTCAAGACGAACAAACAGTTACGGATCATATCGTCTGACAAGTATTTTGCAATATCATTTTAAAATGGTGAGAAAACTACGTTTTTACATGATAGAGTCTTGTACCGGTCGGGGATGTGATATGAATATGTCGTATCATGCAATAGGATATACCCACCCATCGTGTACGTGTGATTGGTTGTACAAAGACATGCTTAGGTATTTTGTTGATGCAAAGCGAATTTGTAGCGACGACGTGTACTTTATAAATGGACGAGATCCTGCAAAATTCCTTTATTGGTGAAAATGAAAATAAAATTGAAATCGAAAAGTTGTTACGGGAAGATGATAAACTTATTAAAATGTTGAAAGAAATATTAGTTGATTATTTAAAAGTAGTTTCGAGGGATCCCGAAGATGATATTGCTTGTGATATTTTGAATAACGGACTCATCATGTCATTTCCACGCGTTTATTTTTATTTTAAAAACATGTACTATGTACCCTCAACTCGTACGAGACGTGTCATTTTGGGTTTTGTGTGTATCGCATTGGGCGTACACGCATCGATCGAAATTGATTTTAATATTTACCCCACGGCATCTAAGTACGTATCGTCGGATCGCATATGGATTCCACCTCATTGGTGGGTTACAAGCGATATAAAATTGTTGGCTGCGGACGAAGAATATACTGGGGATATTTTTCATTATGTATATATCAAAAGACAAAAATTTTTGATTGGATCAGTGTAGAACGTGTACAGACGCGGATATGCGAGAAGTTTGTAGTAAAGTGTTACGTATGTATCCTTCTTTTCGTTTGGGACGTATTTTAAAATATTTATTTAATATGCAATTGGAAATAAAAATGTTTATGACGTCATCGTGTTCATGTAGTCGATGGAGTGGGCGGGTTCTGGAAAACATTCAGTATATGCATCCTCGATGCAAGTGTACTGAATTGTGCTCTAAAATTATACTCGAAAGATTTCCCGATTGCAGATACGTGTGTGCGTAAATGGCAATGATGTTCTGTTATGCAAAACCCTGTGACGAAGATAGTGATATTCACAAGATGTTTTCCCGTATGTATCCCGAGACTCGAAGTACGACGTCTATATTGTATAAAGAAAATATATATCACGCGAAGTACTATTTGTTTATGATTGTTAAGCATGTGGATTTACAGCGATCGATATTATCGGTGGATATAAATTTTACGCGTACGAACAACATGAAAAGACATTGTATATCAAGAGTTCTCATAAAATGGAAGCCCTGTATCGATTATCGGGGTGTAATACGACAATCGGTGGGGTGTCGTTTTAAAATGGGTACGGGTTGTGATCACGCGTTTGTCGAGGGTTATAACGAAATGTCGCGTATGTCTTCGGATATTTTTTCTTATTTATATCGTGAAGCAAGTAGACGAGAACAAAACAAGGATACATGCGATCACTTTAAAACGTTATATATAAAATATGATACATTTGTGTCTGAAAACTTTATCAGTGACGTTATAAAGTATGCACGTAGATATTTTGAAAATCAAAAATATATAAGAGATAATTGTAGTTGTAATGTAGCGTTTATACATTGTAAATGCAAGAAGGTAATAAACGAATTTGAAAAATATTTTTTATCATTTGTGTTTTGTGTTTGGAGTATGGAGGTTGTGGAAAGTTGGTTTGCCAAACAGCATGGTCAGATACAAGAATGGGAAAAAAAGTATATACAACAGTATCAACGAGATATTGTAAATCGAATTACTCACGTTATGGACTGCGAAGCATATACGATTGCAAAAAATAAAGTATATTTGCGAGAGGTATCTATTTATCGCGTATGTGATCAAAGGGTGTCTTCGTTTCAAATATACATGCCCAATTTGTATTTGAATCCTAAAAACGTGCATTATCAAATAAAATATGTACACGGTCTGCCCTTGGTGCATCGAAAATATAACGAGGATTTTTTACAATATCACGAAATATTTCGGGTGTTAACTGATGAATTTATGACATCTGCCGATTTAGTGGCGTATAAGGGTGGAACGATCGAAAGAGATTTATTACGTAAATTGGGCAGTAAGGGTATTAACCTTGAATTATTAGGGTGCGACAAGTATGAAAACTTGATTACCAAATATGGTATGACACCGAAACGATGTCCGTATCATAACGAGGGCAACTATCATTGTTCTCGACACGAAGTAGAAGTGTTTGCACGGTTTCTAAAGGAGTTAAAATGAGTGCACTATCAGCATTTCACGCGTTGTTATTAAATTATCAATTTCATCCTATACCATGGCGTTTGTATAGCGTAAATCGTGCTTTACGTAGTAGAAAACCACGTATGGACAAAACTCGAATAGTTCAATGGTATCATTTATCCAAAAAATCTTGGTTAGGGGGTGCAGGCGAGGGTGTACGTACGATTATTTGTTACGACGACAAGTTTAAAGACGCTGACGGTAATCCCACGGTGGAAGCAGAAATTTCGTCGCATTTCGGAATCAACGATCGGTATGTGATCCCACGTGAATGGATGAGTAGAATTTATGCCATAGAAGATGGTCGATATGTTCTTGCCGATCGAGAATTTTGTTGCCGTCAAATTCTTAAACGATCCGACTGTAAATTGGTTCGTTGCCAATCTTTGAACGTACCCGAATTTATGTTGATGAATGAAGCGTATTTTCATATCGGTTGTGGACCCTGTTGGCAAGAAATAGCCTACTTATTTGCAGACGTCGCCATATTTTTAGGGATAAAACCCATGGCAGATCTGATTGAAACGATGAAGTTTAAAACTGATATTTTATATATAGTATATGTATTGGGTGATGAGTACGATATGACTTTAGAATTTATTGACAGCAACGCAAATAAAACGCATTACTCTAATACTGCTATTCAAAATATTTTAAAACATATTTTAGTTTGTAAAGTATGCAATAAGTATTTAAAAGATTTTTTAATTATTATCGACGAATGTTTGGAGCAAAGTGATCCTGCACCCGATTATTCCGATCAAATAGAAGTAAAAACATATTTGAAGGATTTTTTACCCTGTGATATATATTTAATAGATGCCGAGTTTGATGAATTGCGTATGCAATATTATAAAGCATTGGATACTGGATTAAACGTATCTGCTGCCGACGAGTTACATCACGAGTGGCATAGCGAGAGACACGCTGTTGTAACACGTTTCATTGACTCTTACAAACGATATGTACCGAAAATATAGTATCGAACAGTTGTATTTAAAATATAACAAATATATGTACTATGTGTATAACGATGATAAACATGATAAACATTGTGTGGGGTTTATATATATTTTAAACGAAACGGCTTACGAGAGTTGGTTCTGTCCAATATTGTTATTTTTTTTGGCCAGGGGTTTTGTTATAAAATCAGCAACGACGGTGAGTAGAACAAAATGTATACAGATGTTTACAGATAAATACGTGGACGTCAGAAAAACGATTCACTTTAGGCTAGGTATTATCAAGAATCAGTCGTGAAAAAAAGAAAAAATGGTTAGTACTCGAACATTTTATATCGAAACGATTGGTAGGAATGAAAACATATTACGAGAAATATTGTTAAAATGGTCATCGAGCAAGGATAAAATGTTAGCATATTATAAATATGTTAAATATGATGACGAAAAGGGCTATGCAAAGATATCGGGAATTATTCAATTTCGCAGACGATTTTCGAAAAAAATTCTTCGACTATGTTTTTCCAACGAATATATTGGTCTGGATATTTTACAACCCGTTGGGAAACCCTTGATTTTAACCTTTATGCAATTGTGGGTGTTAAAAGATTTTTATCACGGCACAGAAGATGAGTATGGTGAATTTAGTCTCGGTGGAAAAAAACGATGTTTGGCTCGAGCTGCAAAACCCTATTTGAATGCTTTAAAACATACTACCTCCAAAGAGACATATTCCACGGAAATACGTCGATTACGTGACTTTAAATATATGTTAGAAAAACGTAGAAAAACTTTGTCCAAACAGAAAAGTAGTCATTTGACAATCGCATGTGAACGATGATAGAACTGACGTACAATTTATGGCGCAGAGGAAAATTTAAAAAAAATATGATGTAAAAAAATAAATTTCTTTTAACCATCAATGTGTAAACTTGATTTATTTGTGTATAAGCGTCCGAAATTTAAACAAAATATACTTGTAAAAAAAGATGGATTACCAAATATGGAAAAAATGTCATAGCTTATGAAATAAAAAGATTTTGATTTTGGGAATATGGAAACACATTTATTTTGTCGAAGACGAAGATGCATCGGTACTAGTTTACGTCATCTTTGAAAAAACGGGTTGCAAAAGAAATACACACACAGTTAGATCAGATTGGTAAGTTTTTATTTATGATACATTACATAGTTAGGTCCTGGTATAGTGTTTCTAAGTTTAGCGCCTTTTTTTCCCTTTCGTTTTTTACTCATTCCCATACCCTTTTGATAGTTTCTCCGAACCGGTTGAGGGGGTTTTTGTTGTTGTTGTGGGGGTGCACCGGCCAGTAATCCATTGGCAAGTTGCTTGCCTGCAGCTAAAAGTTTCTTTCCAAACACTCCCCCTGTTAGTTTTCCCAAAAAATTACCGCCGTCTTGTTTCTTGCTACGTTGATATTTCTTCCCCTTAAAATTACCCCCGTCTTGTTGTTTTCGTTTACGCCCCATATTTTCATCAAGACCACTTGGGTGTGAATATAAGTTTTATTTTTAATACAATGTTTTTATTGCCAATATTCTCGACCATACGAAGTGAATATTTCGTTGTTAGGGGGTATTTTTTTAGTGGCTTTTAATTTAAACATCTGGTTACCCTTAATTTTGGCATTATTTCGAAAAGATGTACCATGACTGTCGTTGACAAAACGTGCCGCACCATCTGTCGTATATGTGGCATCGACACATCGACCCCGTTTATTGCAGACGGCATATTTTGCAACACCGTCACCGTATTTTTTATCCAATTCTTTTTTACTTAATTTACGACCCGTATATTTGGAAATCAATTTTCCCCGTACGATGGGTTTTTTCCAGGCAAATAACCCTTTTCCTGCTCCGGCAATGTTGGAGGGTTTGATGCGTAGATTATTTTGATTTGCCAAATGAATCCAACATTTTTCTGTGTGCGCTGTTCGTTTACGACAACGAACATCTTTTTTTGTATTGCTTACACATTGTTGAGATCTACGAATACTTTGTGATTTGGATTTGCGTTTTCGCCGTGTTTGTCGCAATAGATTTAATACAAATTTTTGACGCCTGGGTGTTTTTTTAGTTCTTGCCATCTCCTAAACGATTACCGAAATGCCTGCGTACACGTCTTTGTGTTTCTCTATATAATTTATAGCTCGCATTACTTTATTTGATAGATGCACAGGGACACTATGCATTTTACACATGGCATCGAGTCGACTTCGTAAATCTTCAATGGGGATTACGGCAAATGATTCGAGATGATCATGACACCACAAAGAAAGAGCATCTTTAAATAATAAAGGTATGATTGCCAATTCTGGATCGTCATCGTTAAATTCATAGGGTGCTACATAATTTTCACACGGGTTATTTTTTACCTTAAAATGAATGTTGATGTGTCCCGTAGCCATTTTTAACGCGTCTTGCTTTGTCGAAACACAGCTATAAAATATGGGTTCAAAAGTATGTGCTGGTAGTAGTGATACCCCGTTCGTTACGTTAGACTGTACGTTTGTTAACGTGAATCGCAGTCCAAATGTTAATCTTGATATTGTAGACGCGGGAAATCGAGAATGAGACGAGGAAGAAGCCCGTAAACCTACACGTTGCTGTTGTTTTCTATGGCATCGTCGTCGAAAAAACGAAAACGAGTACATGATGAAGACGAGGAAGAATTGAATGAGGATTTACTATCGGAAATCGTACGTATTATTCGTACTAGGAACAGATCTGTACCCGTACGAAATTACGATGTTTCAAACGAGCAAATTCACGAGATTGTGAACATAATTCGAGCAAATCAAAATAAACCCGTAAGATCGCGTAAATAGACGATTTAATAACAATGAATTTATTTATAATATTACCGTAGGACGTAATAATACGAGTAGTTTACCCGATTTCTTGGAAAGTATGACGACTGTTTTTAAATATCTTATTAATGTAATGAATTATAATGCCAATTCGCCAACGGATAAAGCACGTTTTTATATCTCGAAAGCTCCGACTGCTAGTTTTTCAACGGCCATCTTAGATGTTCGTGATTTTACACCTGCTTTGTTTTTAAATATTTTCGAACGACACATGCAAAGCAATGCGCGCACAGTGATCGATAATGGTTGGCAATCTATCGTAAGTCTATATATTTTCCCCAATAGATATGTGCGTCCACAACAAAATGAAAAAAAAAACAATCTAAAATCTACAAATATTACGGTAAAAACCCTAGCGAATCGGGTAATGGACGCACATTAGCTAAAAAACACGGGCGGGAGGTAAGGAATGGTGTTTTTCAAGTGGTAAGTACAAGAAGTTGTTTTGCTCTTAGCCTGCTTGCGGGAAAATCTTTTTTACAAAAAGACGAACATTACAAAACCTTAGACATAGGTCGAAATACCGATCTTACGACATTGTACACTGACGAACAAATTGTCGCGGTCCACGAGAGTGCTCGAGTGCCCTTGGGACCCGTGCGGGTTGATCAATGTCATCTATTTTATGAGAATTATTTACGTCCGGACAATATCGACCTGGTTGTTTTTGCCAAGACCAAACACGATTCGATTGTATACGACTCACGTTTAAATGAACAGGGAGACATTCATCGTATTACAAACGATGTGATTTTTTTATGTTTAAACGACGCTCATTACGATCTGATTATATCTTCTCGAAAATTTATGAAAAACTGCGGGGGTCGATTTTGTATTAAGTGTATGAAATATTTTCGCATATTTGAAAATCGGGAAACGCATATTTGTCAGACGGTAGCATGGTGTAAAAAATGTTATGCTCAGGCCGTAAAATGCATGCCCGAACAGGATTTTAAAATTGAATGTAGCGAGTGTCACGTGTTATTTTACAATCGGAAATGTTTTGCTAAGCATTTAACGCATGCCATTTTCAAAAATAGCTATAGTAAAAATGTGTCTGCATGTCGTTTTTTTTTCTTTTGTAAAACGTGTTATCGTATTGTTCCACGTATGCACAGAGTTAGCACTAAAAAAATGGTCAAACATAAATGTGGTCAATATTATTGTCAGCAATGTAATGCGATCAAGGACCGAGACCATGAGTGTTATATGAAAGTTTATAAGATTCCGGCAAAGGAAATGTCGACCGTATTATATTTTTATGATCTTGAAACGCGTGTAAACGAACAAAAAATGATGGTACCCTTTTATGCGGTGGTTCAAAAAGTGTGCAAGACCTGTGACGAAATAGAATTTGTAAAATCGCAGGAAAATTTTATTCCTCACCCCACGTTAAAACACTGCGATAGTAGTGTGGAACCGGTATCGTGCTGCGGTCATAGACAGTACGTATTCGAGAACAACAACGAAGATATTACTGAAATGTTAATGAATTTTATGTTATCACAAACGAGCAACAGTGTGTGGATTGCACACAACGGGGGGCGCTTTGATAATATATTTTTATTGCGTGAATTATTAGTAAAAAGAAATATAGTTCCGCATACAATCATGAATGGTAACAAGATTATGTGTATAGAAATTCAACAAGATGATAATTTAATTAAAATCATCGACAGTTACCTATTTTTAGCCATGCCATTAAGTAAAATTCCCGAAACTATGGGTATACCCGATTTGACAAAGGGATATCACCCGCATTTTTTTACAGATTTAAATTATGTGGGTCCCATGGTGGGTTTAGAATATTTTGATTTATCGAGGGAATCCGACTTAACCGAATTTAATAAATGGTATAAAATACAAACCACCAAGACTTATGTATTTCGCGAGGCCGTTTATTACTATTGTCGACTTGATGTTGACATTTTACGTCAGGGGTGTGTAAAATTTGCACGACTCATTGTCAATATTACGAAAATATTTCCCTTTTACGATCGCACTTGTTACACCATTGCGGGGTTAGCATTGAAAATATATCGAGCGAATTTTTTAAAAGAGGATACTATTGGGCAAATTCCTCCCACGGGTTATGGCGGGAATGTTAATCAAAGTATTATCGCTCTACATTGGCTTTGCGAAATTCAACAAGATCTCGAGAAGCAAGGCCATTCGCTGCGAAGTAAGTTATCGCCAGAGGGTGAAGAGAATATTTTAAATTATTTTGTGGATGGGTATTGTCCCGAAACGAATACGATCTATCAATTTCATGGTTGTTTTTTTCACGGTTGTAGCAATTGCTTTGAGGGTGGTGATATCAACAAAGTCAACGGACAACGTTTTTATGTTTTGCGTGAAAAAACTCGTCGTATAACAAATCTTTTCGAAGATTATCGCTTTAACGTTGTCGAACGCTGGGAATGCGAGCACGTACAGGCATGCACATTGTCACGGACAACCATCCTCGAAATGGGTCATGTTGATTTTTTTGCATACATTAATTTGAACCCACGCGATGCACTATTTGGTGGGCGTACGTCACCTGCTAAGCTATATCACGAGGTGACGACAGACGAGAAACTTCGTTATTACGACTTTACTTCATTGTACCCCCATGTTCAAAAAAAATATCGTTATCCGACAAAACATCCGGAGATTACACGCGGTGTTGACAAGTGTGCGAAATTAAATATTGACAAAATTTTTGGGTTAATTAAATGTAAGATTTTAGCACCCCTTTGCATGTTGTTTCCCGTACTACCTCTTCGCTTAGAGAAATTAATGTTTGCTCTGTGCACTGCATGTGCACGCGAACAGTGTACGAAATGTACACATAACGACGAGCAACGAGCATTGTACGGCACGTGGACAAGTGTTGAAATTCACAGGGCATTAGAACATGGTTATAAGATACTTATCATTTACGAAGTATATCATTACCCCCATAGTGCTAAAATATTTGACTTATACGTCGACACGTTTATGAAATTGAAACAGGAAAGCAGTGGTTTACCCCGTCAGTGTATAAATGAAGACGGAAGTGTCGACGATGTAAAAGTACGTGCATACGTTAAGGAATATGCTAAACACGAACAAATTTATCTAGACCCCAGTAAGATAGAGTATAATGCCGGGCAACGTACTGTCATGAAAGCGCTTTTAAATTCGCTTTGGGGAAAACTTGCTCAAAACGAAGATGTTACCGTCGTATCATTTATAGAAAGTTTTGATGATTTATTAGAGTTAGTAAACGACAAGACGGTCGAGGTGACCTCGTTAGATTTTATCAGCGATGATATTGCACGAACCACGCATCGTAAAGTGGGCGGGTCCCTAACCACTTTGGGTAATCGTAATGTTATAATTGCTTCGTTCGTTACGGCCTATGCACGCTTGGAATTATTTGAAGTATTAAATAAATTACAGGAAAATGTTTTGTATTATGATACGGATTCGGTTATTTATAGTGAAAATCGAGCACAGGGTAAGTATTTAGAGACGAGTAAATATCTGGGGGATCTGACAGACGAATTAAGTGAAAAAAATTGTACCGAAAAATGGATTGTTGAATTTTGTGCTGCAGGTCCCAAATCCTATTCATATCGTACAAATAAATATATAAGAACGCTAGAGGATGGTACGCGGGTAGAATGTGTGGACGAAGCGACACACGTCAAAGGGTTTCGTTTACAGGGGGATGCGAAAAAAAAGATCACTTTTGATACTATTTCGTCTTGTGTTCATAATCACAGTCAGGAGATTACGGTCACCTATCGTGAATTTACTCGATGCAATGCACAAACAATTATCGTTCAAAATAAGGAAAAAACTTTTCACTTTACATTCGATAAACGTATAGTTTGTGATGATTTTACAACGCTTCCTTACGGTTACAGATTATGAGTTCCTGTCTTTTTTTTTTCAAAGGAAAAATGCGTGGATCATGGTTCTATACCCTTTCAACATCCGTTTATGCTAACTATGTGTGGGCCGACACAGTGTGGGAAAACAGAGTTGATAAAAAAATTAATTCTTCACGTCGATGAAATGATCAAACCTACACCGGACAAACTAGTTTACTTATATACGGCTGACCAATCGAACTATGACGACATCAAAGACATAATACGTACGAACAGCACGACATCTAACTTAAAGACGTTCGAGTTTGTGGACTGTAATCAAGGTGTTCCCAGCATTGCAGAAATAAAAGCTAAATTGGGCAACGCAACGCTTTTGGTTATGGACGATTTAATGGTTTTAGCGGCTTCTTCTACCAAAAACGTTGAGAATTTAAATAATATAGCCTCGCGAGATAGCCATCATATGAACATGTCCGTTATCTTTGTGTGTCAGGGATTAAATTTCGGAAATGGAAAATTACGTAATGCGCGCGTGAACAGTCAGTATCACGTGCTTTTTAACAATCATTCGGATATTCGAGATATAGAAATGATTGCGTCGAATAAAAAAATTAAATTGGCAAAAATTCATAAGGTTCTTAAATCTGTAGCCAAAAAAAGTCCATTTGGTTATATTTTATTCGATGGCTCACCGCGTAGCTATGGTAATACGCGTATACGATCGGGTGTTTTACCCGGGGATAAGACAACAATTTACGAATGCACTCAAGATATGTAAATTATTTGTTTAATAAATGTGATTGTAAAAATGATTTACAAATTTGTCCCTTGTGTTTTTTACATTTGGTTTTATAGATCGTGATAATTTTTGGAAAAATCCCGTAGATCAATACACGTAGTGCTTGTTCATTTTCCATCTGATCTTCAATGTCCATTTGATCAAATAGTTTTTCACCACTCCAATACTCCCATAGAAATAATAGACACCAAGCACCACAGGATCGACTGATGTGAGATTGATGTTGGATCGTGGAATAATTGGATACGCGACATTTAAGAACTGTTTGAAAATAATCTAACCAGTACTTGCGTTTAAAAAATGACGGTGTTTTACCGTAACTATCAAAAAATTTTAATTTTTTTTCATTTTTAAGAACCGCTATCCAATGCGTTCCGGGTTTATCGGATTCGTCGATATTCCATATCCAACAACAATTTTTACGTATATTAATAGGGCTGACATTTGCAGGATAACACCCCAAATAATGGGGAGCAAGAATCTCGTTAGTTCGTGCCAAATCATTTAATTGATCTGTATCTAAAAATTTACTGATAAAACAAACAAGACTAGTCATCTATCGTAATAGGCGACGTATTTCTGCGTCCAAATTTTGATACGGATTTAAATTCGTAGATCGAGGGCGTCTATTATAGGGTCGGGCACTCGTCGTGTGTCGTACTGGAATACGTGATGAAGGACGTCGTAAGGGTGTTGTTCTCGAAACCAACTCGTCTTCTGCACTGCTGCTTGAAGGTGTAGGCAGGTCAGGTAAAACACGAATACCGCCCTCGCGGGTTTTTATATATTCGCTACGAAGGCGTGTACTGCGTATACTTGACGCAGGCATTTTAATTTTTTTCAAAAGTTGCATGGCTTCTTTTGATTCAATCGATGTTAAATTTGCAGTTTTCGTAGTTGTATTATGAGATAAATCATAAACCAAATCCTCGTAGGGTATATTGTATCGTGTTCCTTTGTGTGTGGTATTACCGCTACCCGACCGTGTAACACCGTGTGTTTTAAAAATTTCGAGAATTCTTTCCCGAGCTGCTTCCACAGTGGTACCCGGTCGTTGGGCACGTCGACGACCGGGTGTAGGGGCCTCCTTAGCACCTTCGGGGGCATTGGGGAGTTGAGCGGTCGCCTTTAGCGATGCTTTTAATTTATCTTTTTTGTTCAAAAAATTCACAACATCCATACCTGCTAACGGACTTTTATTTTTAACACTTTTTGTTACATCGTGAAAACTTTACACGTAATCTTGTTCTACGGGAGACGACGTGGCCTGTTCTACGATATTTTTACGTTCTAAAGTCTGCTGTAATGTCGATATAAGTTTATTAAATCGTTCCGAATCGACTAATGTTAATTCTCGTACACTATCACTCATTTTTTACTCATAAGATCAATAACTTCGCGTAATATCGAATGAACTGTGAAATTTTCACTCAAAGCAACATTTACGTCTTCTTTAGGCGTACGCTTATCCAGCAAATGCCCAAGAAAACGTCGACTGTCGTCTGATATAGTCACAGGCACTTTCCCACGATGAACATGCTGACAAAGATTGAGCATATTTTTTTTGACATCCTTCGTAATAGATCTTTTATTGATGGATGTATTTAAAAATTTTGTCACGCTGGGAATTACGTGTGATTTTTTCTTTCGTGTATCATCACGCGATTTTAATTGTATTAAATCACTAAGTACTTTACTAAATAATTCATCACTAAGCCCTAAACTTTCGCCTTCTTCTTCTTTGTCACTTTCACACAATTCATTTATGTACGTTTCGCCATGCTCTTCTTCTTTATCACTGTCTACATTTTCAACAATTTCCTCGTCGTCGACAGGAACATCTTCGGGCTCATCAACATCAACATTTTCCACGTCACTATTCATTTCTTCTTGGGACTCTTCTAATTTCTCTTCCTCAATAAACGTATCTGCGGGTTCAGCCATATTGTGAAATTACGGGGTGTACATGCAAAGTTTGTAACGACCGTCCGAATGAACTTATAACTTTACCATCGGCTGGTCTTAACAATCTGTTCGATACTCTCCCCTTACCCTTCTTACTAATACAACAACATCGTCTTTTTCGAGCTTTAGGCATTTTTTAAAAATCGTATTTTGAACGCGCCGCCGTTTTGAACCCAATGGACAATTGATTTCTAAACTCTCCAATAAAAATCAATTGTTGTGCGGCTTGTAATGCTGCAGCATATTTTATATCTGCACTTACTACACCAGCCGTCGAATTGGGCAAAACTTGATTGAAACTATCGCGATTTGTTGTTAAATCGACTACGATAATACCAAATACGTTTTGGTACTGTGCAAAAGTTACCGGCATTTCACTGTAACGCTTGTCTAAAACACGCGTCAAATTGAGATAAGCCTCTTTTGCGGTCGTAATCAACGGGGGTATATTTGCCTCGTTGATTTTTATCTGAAAATGATTGATATTGGGAAATGCCATCAGATGAAAATTTTCTTCGTTATCGCCATTGTAGCGATTTTGTGTTTTCTGACAACAAATCACACGCGTGGGTCGTGCACCATTGAAAAGATCATTAATTTGAACATTCTGGGCACCAATAGCCAAAGGCTTTGCAACATAACGATAGGTTGTGGTATAGAATTTACATTCTTCTGCATTCTGAATCATCAATTCATTGATAGCCGACGATAATTGTGCCACTGGTTTCATCATGGGAATGATTAATTTCAAATCTTTTATTCTCATCTTATTCGCAGTGACATCAGCATCCACGCCGTTAAAATATTTTGCTTTTTCTAATCTTGTCAATTCGATTTTAAAATCGAATGACGTCGGGCAAAAACGTTTGTTATTACCCAATATATTTAGAATGTCTAAGCATTCAAAATCGGCACTAAGGCGAAAGGCTGCCGCTCTTTTACCACCACCTCTGTTAACCATACCAGCTGCATTATCGTGAAAATTGGCAGTGCTGTCGAATTGACTAGCCGTGTCGTAATAATCCAGACCCAAATCTCGTTTATCCATTCGTCCTGTTGGCGTTCGTGTCATCAAAGAATTGATGTAATCGATTTCTGATTCATGAGTTGTCGTGGTGTTGACAAGATCATTATTCACGTATACTTCTTTCGTTTTCCATCCAAATGCCAAAGGGCGTGTTAGGGGTGCAAGTCTTTGCGTATTGGCAATATTTGCACCGGCATTTGTCGTGATCTGCAAAGTTGCCGATATAGTAGCATCTTCTAACTGTAAGACACCATATTCTTGACGGTTGTGAATAAATGTATACGTGTCTGAATCTGGACTCGACGCTGGTGTTGCGTAAAGTCTTAATTCCCGCGTTTCCTCGAATGTAATATTATGAGGAAACGTACTAAACATTTGCAGGGGTGTGACAAACCCCCCGTCATGTGTTTCCACATCCTCTGCCCCATCGTCTGTTCGCGCACGTTTAACTCCTCTGCCGCTCATGATGAAAAGTGAATGATACAGTATCGAGGCGCATATTAATACACGTGTACACACATATATTTTTTTCAAATAATATATTTATTTCCCTTGTGTTTTATACATTAATTTTTAAAATTTTTCCTAATGTACCTAAAACCATGGGTGCCATAGTTCCCAGTGCCATACCAGCACCAAAACCCCCACCTCGTTGTTTGGAACGTTTTCCTTTTCTACTCTTTTTACCACGTCTCTTGAACCCTTTTCTTTTTTTCAAAGCACTTAATAGTATAGCTAATCGTGCTAGTTTTGCAGCGTTTCGTCTACCGGAACCCATTGAGTAATTGACGTAAAATTCGCGGATCGATTTGTGGCTGTCCTTTGGGCGTATTCACTTTACCCTCTTTGGGAATTCGCGGATTCTTATAATTGGGGTTTAATTTACACGGAGGTGCAATCTTGTCCAATGCTCGCGCTTCTGTACTTTTCGTCGTTTGAGCATTCCTTATTATACATAAATTTGTACCGGGACACGGTATACCACCACCCTTTAAATATTTAATATACGTCTCTTTATCGCACATGTTTACTCGTCGGCGTTATCGTAAAGATTGAGTTCTAGGGTAATTTTCTGACCGTTATTATTACCCAGTTGTCGAGATACGTCATCGCTCCACGTATGTTCGAAAAAAACAAGGCGGTGAAATTCGTTTAGGGTGTTTGCACAAAAAAAAGAGGGTAATCTTCTTTTTTTACCACCGTAAGAAAGACCCATATTGCTTTGATTTAATGTTGTCAAGTATCTTCGTTCATGACATGCATGATGATCTTCTGTATTATAGATCTGTGTCATACCCTTGATTTCATAATATTCACCACCACGGCTGTAATTCCACTCGAGGGGTTCATCGGCATCAGTCATATAATACAATGCATGTTGACGACGATAATAAAGAGTACATCGTCCCCATCCTCCTGTAAAATTACATCCTAATTTATTTACAGTATAATATCGTTTTTTAGTTTTATTGTAATCTATTCCTTTATTTTTATCCAAAATGGTATATTTTGTAGGTACCAATTGACTGTTTTTCACGGTTAATTCCAGATGAAGCATTTTTTTCTACTCCTGTTCAAAGATATCGAACTGTAATGTGATTTTTTCACCGTTTCGAGCTTTTAAAGCACCCTTATGTGGATCACTTCCCCAACGTATCTCAAAATGAATACTTTCGTTTATATGTTGTTTTGCCGATACAAACATGAACGAGGGAAGAATTCTTTTCTCGTCATCGTAATAAAGATCGGGATTGGATTTATTGATCGTTGTTAGATAGCGAGCTTTGTGACATCCAAAACCCACATTACCTGTATTAAATACGTCCATACCCTTCACGCCGTAAAATTCACCCCCCTTGCCAAAATATTTACGGTATGTAATAGTATCATCGGAACAGTCTGGAAAATAATACTTGCGACGATAATATATTGCGAATTCGTTGGTACCCCCTAGATTCGTATGCATGTGTTTTAAAACATAATATCTTTTTCGAGGTTTGATATTTAGCGTAAACCCCTTGTACTGATCACATAACACGTATTTAGTACAAATTAAACGAGCATTGGTAACTTGTAATTCCAAGCGCAGCATTTTCTTTTAGTAGACGATTGCTTCCAACGTAATTACCCCGGCGCTAAAATTAATCGGATTATATGCCGTGTCAAATATGCCAATGTGTAAAGCGTTAATGCGAGCCTTGACTAATTTACGCGTTGTGTCCGCGGGTACGTAGACGGCCAACGATGAACTACTCTGGTCTTCGACTTTAATGGGTACGGACGCTAATAGTCTTGCTTTTGTATCACCTACGATCGATTGTTCTACTTCGTCGCAGTAAATCATCATTTTACTGACACCGTTGCTTAGGTCGGGTATATGTTTTCCATAAAATGTAAAATGTTCAAGTTTTTGTGGGTCCCCCACGAGTTGAAGAAATTGCAACCAGGGTAAATCGGCTTGTGCATGCCCTATTTTTTTGGCTGCAATATCGGGATGCACAACCCATTCTTGTAAACCCAACATGTATTCTAAACTGGGGGTCATGATAAAATTAAACGACGTTTCGGTACCCCCCGTAATAGGTGCAGATAATTCACTGTACGGAGTGCCGATTGTCTGATAAATGTACACGACCTTTCCATTAAATTTTACACCAACACGATCCCCTTCCTGTTTAACAAAAACCATATCGTATTCGTCAACTAATTCGTTGAGATAAACTAACATGTCATCGAGATCGTAATGTCCCGCGGGTAAATACATCATGGGAGTTTGATATTTGACGACCTGATTGCTACGTGTAATATTACCCATATTAATTTGAATCCGTATGCCACATTGTTTTTCGTGTACATTTTCGACCGTCTGTGGATAGGCAATGTTTAAAATACGTATTTCCCGCGGATGATTTTCCGCATCTATTTCTTCGGGTAAGGGCATCGTGAAAATATTATTATAATTTTCTTTGCCCTCGTCGTTGCGGGCATTGCTTACGATTTGAACATTCATACTTTTTGCAATTCTTCCCTGTAAAATCTACCCTTTATTTTTTCACCCTTCTCGTCATGCAGTTCGTATGTAACTGGATCGGTGATTAGAACTTTATCGACTATAAATTTCTCTCGAACCCAACGTTGTAGACTGGACTTTTCAAATATATTATTTTTTACACGCGACAAACGAACACGATCGCCTTTGTGAAGTAGATTACGTGTGGGTTTAGATTTATTTAGCATATGTTTCAATACCTTGTAGCTTTTTATCGATTTACCCTTAATGTATATATCGTAGGGTGTTGCGCCAAACAAACCCTGATGAGGTGATTCGTTATAACGTTCCACGATCACGGGCAAATATTGAATATAACGATATTTTAAATTTAAGGTTGTCAGGGGTCGTTGTACCATTTCCTTTAATGTTCTTATAAACCGTTCGGCATGTACGGCTTTTGTCTTGCGATTATACGTGGAAAATAATTGAAAACCATAGCGTTGGGCAAGTTGATTTTTAATTATCGAAAATTCAGTCCCCTCGTCACTTTGTATTTTTTCCGGTATACCATGTTCTCGAAGAATTTCTTCGAATTTATTGGCCACATTTCGAGCAGATTTTGTCTTCAACAATTTCACAAATGCATACCGAGAATAAATATCCACACACACAAGCATATAACGATATTGATTATTATACTTTGATAAATTATTTAAATCTGCTAAATCAATACTCCATTGTTGATTACGTCTAGTTACATGAATTTTTAATCGCTTATACTTAACGCGTTTCTGTGCATGCAACGTATACGCTTCGTGTTGTTCATCCGTGAGTTTTTTGCCTTTTAAAAGACGTGCTGCTTTTTTTATCAGTTCATTTGTATAGTTCTTACTTGACATTTTTCTTTACGCCTATAAAAATAAACTTTATTCAATTTGCGCTACTACAGCTTTGTACATGGTTAACAATGCTGGCGAATGATTTCGTAAAAGACTTATATAATCAAAGGATGCTTGACTATTTAGTTCGTCTAAATGTTTCAAGACTGTCTCTTCTAATGTGTCACCCGATGTAATCATATATTGAAATATTGTTGCCAATGCATTTTTAGGGGGGTAAATCTATTAAAAAAAATGTTATATTTTAGGCCTTAATAGTTCCACGTTACTTGTCGGGCATTTTTTTGGGGTTTTGTAAATTTTCTCGTTACCTGCTGTTCTCTTGCTGAAAATAACTCGGCATTTGTGGGACGACTTTTCTTTCGTGTAGATCCAGCACCGCTACTGCCACCACCACGTTTTCCACCACCTTTTGTTGTAGTTGAAGGAGTTGTGGGGCCCACGATCTGCTTCTGAACGATAGGTGCTGTGTTCTCGGGAGGTAAAGTTGATTCTTCATCCACACCAAGCATATGCTGTATGTCGGTGTAGATTGCCAACATGATTTTTTGAAATTTTTTCCAATCATCACGTTTGGAAATATAAAACTTCTCGAAACAATCAAACCATTCATATTCCTCGGTGTTTTGATCGATTTCGATATCTTCAACCGGTTCTGGATCGGGGTCTGAGTCGTCGGGATCTGTGATAACAATATCGGGCTTGTTGGCATTCATACGCACGAGCACCAAACCTTGATAATCGCTGTCGCGGAGCACCAGCTTTGTGGCATCACCTTTATAATCAACACCCTCTGAAATACAAAATTCATTGGGAGCACCTGGCACGCGGGACGCTTTGGATAGTTGTTCTGATAATTCCAGCAATTCGTCTGCTGTGATACCAATACATGTTTTATATAAAAATTTTGTCTGACCACCTTTCGAAAGGGCACCCGATGCAAGATGTACTTTCTTGTCAAATTTTTCATACCAGCCTACTTTACTGGTTTTATTAGCATACGTGCCAAACAAATGTTGACATGTAGCATATCGTTTACCGTACACATCGTAGATTACAGTTGAGGCCATTTCTCTACCTCAGCCAATCGGTAATGGTGAGAATCAAAGGCTCGGCCAATTTATATGTTGCGTATGCAACGAACATTCCCCCAAAAGTCACTGCGAGATTTTTTTTAGCCACCTGTGCTTTTAAATATAAATCCACCTCGTGTACGTTGTCGTACATTTTTTCCAGATAAATATATTTATAATTTAGTTTTGAAAAAGTCAACGAACCGTATGTATTGCAAATTAATCGAGCAATTCCCAACGCCCACAAACGTTGACCAAGACCTTTGTTTAACCACGGGGTGTCCATAAGTACATACATGACATCGGTTAGATCAGTCATTTCATTATCTGGGTATAATATGTGGCGTGCGTGCGGATAGACATGCCTGCCCACATGTGTATCGATAAGACCTTCAAAATTTTTATAATCATTTTCGTTTTTAAATTTATAATGACCATACCATAGTTTTGTATGCAAAATCTCACGGGGTATTATGCCGATATCATTTGCCATCGATGACTGTTCGTATACTCTTCAATATTCTCACCCAAGGAACTTGCCAAAGACGTACGACACGCGTGAAATAGAATGGCTAATAAAAAAACAGATTTATCCAAATATATACCCATACGTAAAAAATGTTTTTGAATTGTCAATTTTATATCACAAAAAGATTTCTTTTTATACCGTTGACAATACCGATATAATTCGTACACGTTATATCTATATTCACGTCGTGTTGCCACGTAAACGTTGTACGCATATAACTTGTTTTCGTGAAAAATAGGTGTGGTACAAATATCCATTTCTATAACAAACTGCTCGTTTCTTTGACAAATAGATAATTTAAAATTATTACCCACACGTTGAACACTCCAATATTTTCGACAATTAAATAAACGACCATCACACATTACCGTAAAACGATCAAATTTATTTATGTACGGCGAGGGTATATACATAAACGCCATCACCCGTGTGAAAAGCTATAATTAAATGCTTCTAAACTTATACTGCGCACAATAGTTAAGGGTTTGTCACATATATTTAAATAATTAATAAAGTTCCAATTAAGATAAGGATCCCGCTGTACGTACACACCGTAAATGTTACACATTGCACTACGCACATTTTCTAGCGAATTATTATTGCATAAATCTATAAACGTTTCAGTATAATCGGGTGCATTAGGTTCAATAATTACACATCGTCTATCATCTAAATGTTCTACAAGACATTTAAAATACTTGTCTCGAGAATACTCGTTTGATCTTCTAAGAAAACAAAAATATCTAAAAGACTCGTTTATGTAACCGAAACAATGTAAATCTACATACTGTCTAATACGCGTAAGTTTTTCATCGTTTAAAAGAACAACTTGTTTTTCCCCGTCAATAAGTTCCAAAAGATTCTTCATAACGTGTGTTGTAAGACCACCGAGACGAAACGTTTTCGTTGACACTAAGAGTTCCCCTCGTTGTACGTCGACGAAAGGAAAAAAACCTTTTCCAAATATCGATATTGGATAGATAAATCGAGAATTTACTAAATAATTTTTTCTTAAGAACAAGTTCAGAATCAAAAATCTCGGGCGCTTTTACATGACAACGACAATACTGACAAAATTTGTCCACGATCTCGTCTACTGCTTTCCCCATATCATCTGTGTACGTATCTGCATGTCGGTAGTGTTCTTTAAAATCAACATATACCGTAAAACCCTCGTCATAAACACGAGCTCTGAATCGATAACAACAATAAAGAATAGTAAATTCAAATGTTTCCTCGTCGATAGCGTACAATTTTTCAAATATAAAACGTACCCGTTGTAAATGTTCCTCAAATAAAACTATGTACATCTTAAAAGTAGCGTCCGCATACGATCACAGTATTTCCCATACACTTGTGACACGGATAAGATACTTCTAAGTGTGTGGCATTCACGTCAAATCGCAATACCAGTTTTCGTTCCACGCCCCGACTTAAAACAAACCCGCATTTCATGTCGTCTGCAATTATCAATTTTCTGTCCTCTTTATATTCATGTAACATGAGTTTTTGTACCACAATTTCCAAATCGATTACGTGATCACATATACATTTAATCTTACGATAGACGTTACAACTTGTATCTCGTATATTAATGTATAAATAATTTGCTCTTTTTAACGTTAGCACAGTTTATTGTGCAACAGCCATCATGCGTCGACGCAAATCACAAAAAGGCGGGACATTTAAGGGTAAAAAATATCAACGCTCCAAAAAAACAAAAAAACAAAAAGGTGGGTTTTTAACCGATTCTGTAAATTATGGATTTAGCATGGGTATGAGTGACCCCATTTTACAAAAAGGCGGGCAAAGTCAAATACAAATACGAAAAAGACCGTGGGTTCAAAGGGTCGGAAAAATACGCTAAAAAAGATTATTTCGTCGTAGGCGGTATCGTAAAAGGAGAATGGGGACGATTTGGTACAAGACGCTTGGGTATGAGCCCCGGAATTGTACGCCAACGCGGCTACGGACAAAAACAAAAAGGAGGTTTTATAATGCCTCTATTACAAATGTTTGGTCTGGGAAAACAACGCGGAGGATTCGTGGGTAAAAAATGGATGGATCAAGTATATGGGTGAAAAACTGAAAATAACAGTAATAAAAAAACCCATGTAAAATTTTATAATTTTTAATACATCATTGGTACAAAAATATCGTGTACAATTTTTCTACAAGTATTGTTTACACTACATTCGTATAGCAATTCCCCCCATGGGCATCGTTCAATCTATATTTTAATATACCCTGTTTCCCACATATATCGGGTGCACGACGCCTTAATGTCATCCACGCGTGATTATCAAATCCGTTCTTTGCCTGTTCCATGTGTATATAAGTCAACGAGTCCATCTCGTGAAAACGCACGCCACACGTTTCTTGTCGTGGGCATGAAAAAACTTTTTTTGCTCACCATCGTAATCGGTCGGTGCGTTACACACGCATTTTATTTTCTCTCCTCGTCCCACGAGAATTTGTAAAAGTGATTTGCGATAGTCGCATTTTTTTTCGTCACATACAAACAACAATTGATATTCGTTATTCAAGTCGATAGATCTTTCTCGTGTGGGATCTGTTACCCCATGCCCCGCCGTTATACGTTCTACGGTTACACGAACGTAACGGCCACACAAACATTTATCCAGGGCGTGAAAAAACATATACTCTTTAATATTATGTACAATTTTTGCATAGGGGCAAAAATTAACGTCAAATGCATTTATTTTAAAGCCACACGAACGATCTTCACACTCGTAATTTACATCTACCTCATTTGAATCGGGTTTCACTTGACGTGCACACACGAGTACACGTTCCTCGCAAAAACACTCGAGCTGTCGACAACTCCATTTTTCCAATTTTAAATCCCATTTTGAGCAGTTAATACAGCTGCAGGGTAACTTGGTGTTTAATTGCTTTTTGGGTTTTTCTCTCTCAAACAGATCCCCTACTGAATAAAAAAACGTTTCGTAAAAAAAGTACATATTTTGAAAATTAATATTATTTTGTTATAAACTTACTATCTTCTGCCAATTTTCCATAATATTTAGACCCCATTGTCGGAAAGAAAAAATCAAACGACGATGAATCCGTGTAAAACAGAAGCTCCTTTACCCGTAAACCCGTGTGGTCAAAAGGGTTGTAACAAATGCATGGCCGCTAGCATCAGTCGTATGTTATATTTTACAATCGTGAAAAAAACAGACGAAGCCGAACTCGAACGCAACGAAATCCTACCGATACAAGCAACACCTGTCAAAAAACCTATCAAACGATTACGTCCAGTAAAAAAGCCAAATCTAACCGTAAAGCCCATTCGTTTCGTATCAGCAAGTACCCCCACCGATGGCGAATCTCAATACTACTGTTATACCCACATGCAAGTCACAGGAACAAAATGTTGCGACGACTCCCGATGTGTGCGAATCACTCGAAAAAATGGCGATTCACCCTGGAGCCTATCAACTAGCAATGACCCCACGATACCAATCCCTGCCAGCACGAATGAAATTCAATGAAGCAGAAAAAGAAATGTGGGGATTCGACTCTTGTCGTTACGTATCCCCCAGAATAAAAACAATGACTTTTCAAAAAAGGACCTCATTAACAACATTGCCCAGTATAGCACGGTTAAATGACAGGTTGGATGCTTTGAATGATGATATTTTGAAATTTACACGTATATATCATATGGATCCCGATTTATTAGAACTAGATGCACGACTAGATGAAGTATTAAATTCTCGTGAAATCAACGAAGCTTTCGCCTCGTTACGTATTAAAATGGAACAAAAAAATTATTCCATAGAACACAAAGAAGAATTGAGGATGCGATGCACGAACGGCAGCGTTGTAGAATCAGAGAACGACGCAGAGAACGACGCGAAAACAGAAAACGAGAAAGACGTAGACAAGAAAGAGACCAAAGAGAAAGAGTCAGACGACGAAAAGACAGACAACGCCAAACCGAAATCCGAAGACTGGTTAACGGAATATCTTGACGCAAGGGGTAACACCGTAGAAATAGAAAAAATATCTGAGACATATAAACATATATTTTTATCTAGTGAATATAAAGCAGCAGTAAAACATTTACAAGAAACATGCAGTTAAAAAGTGTATGAAAAAAATGTAAATTTTATATTTTTATTAAATTTTACATATTTCGTTGAATTAACCACGATCTTATATATTTGTCCATGTCTATAAATTTAATATCCGTATAGTTCTTCCTATATATATCGTACATATAACCACTTGTATGTTTTAAATCGTCCCCTTCGTCTTTGAGTTGGTATAAAAATCTTTCGTCAAAACCCCCTTGAGATTGATAAATTTCTTGTATTGTATTCCATTCTTCGATCAAAACAGGTGGGACAAATAGTTGCCACATCGAAAACGGAATTCCATCCTCCAAAAGCAATTTATGTTTTACATATATAGCAGCAATCATATAAAATGTTTTTTGTTCTTCCTCGTTTTGTTCTTCGTCGTACATTATTCTGCTTGACACTTTTTTCTATGATGAGTTAAATGCAAAAGTACGTTACAAACATCTTTTCCGTCCACTTTGCAAATCGGACAAACACTCTTGTTCGACATTACTACAAAGGGTCTTAAATACTTTGCATTGGGTGGACGTAAATTTGTATTCGTCCCGCAGTCAGTGCAAAAATTTGATCGATGTTCTGCTACATAATTTTTTAAATCCTCCTTCATTTTTTCCAATTCCATTTTTTCGTCCCCACATACTGCTTGCGTCGACCAATCCTCGTCTATTTCTTCAGATATCTGTAGATTTTCTACATTTAAACTCATTTTGTGACAACAAATTATACAACACGCTTAAGATGATAGCATAAACCAATGATATGATTGTTAATATACATACAAGTTTTATATGAAGTTTCATTTCCGCCGGTTATAAATATAAGACGATTTCTCAAAATCAAATCAGTTTTTTCAACAACGATGACTGGCTTCGCCTCTAAAGATTACGACGTTCTTTATTTAAAAAATAACACCAATATGAATATTCCCATCTACGCCGGTGGTACAACTGCAGTACATCAAGACAACACGCATGCCCACATTGATATTATATTTGACGAGATTCGCGACTCTGATTTTAAAACCCTGGGGGTTTTGGGCAAAAGGGAATGTGCAAAACTAACGATGAACATTGGGGATGTGGGTTTTCTTGAAAAAATCGATACGAAGACTTTTACCCAAGATTATCGACAACATCACGAAAATAAACGAATGAGTTTTAAGGAAATCAATCACAGATAAGGTAAATTTTTTTACTTTCCATATATGGTAATCGAGTATAACAAACCTCTACGCCTTTTTTATAAATTCGAACAAACAAACTTCAAACCCACAAAAACCATGGCAGATCAATTCACACAAATTGGTAATAAAAAATATATGTATTTTTATAATAATACAAATGTGTGCTATCATATACTCTTGGTTCCCTCCATGTCCTACGACGTTTCCGAGTACCCGCAACCCGTTGTACGGTTGGAAGTTCCAACAATTCGCGGAGCAATACACGTATCAGATTTCATGCCCGACGAATACATTGTCATGCAAACGGTAAGATGTAAAAACGAAAATGAAAATTCCTTTCGTAAATCTTTTTTTAAATTCATTTTTTCTTCTCTTTAGGTAAATGCAAATACAGATAGACATGTGTATAAACTTGTGCAAAAAATCACGAAAAACGAATTTTTAAAAAGACTCATGGAACGAAATCCCTACGAATCGTTTAATGATATATGGCTACATAATCTAGTTTAAAAAGTAGAAAACAATGTAAAAAATAAAAATTTTATTTCCGGTTTACAATTTCGTTATATATATAAGGGTGTACACAAACTTCTACAAATCTAATATCTTACCATGTCACTAACATTTTCCATCGATATGGCTACTCAAATTTGCACATCCCCAGTAACGGTAAATGTATTTGATGAAGACTTGGAATATATCTATCTACGTATACGTTCTCCTAAAGAATTTTGTATGATGTTAGTACCCTACGAATATCCTGTTCAAAACGTTGCTCCGGGATGTCTACTTTTTTGTTCAAAACATACTACAACTCCACAGGAAATTGGTATCGTGCCGACCACTGGTGGAATTAAAATCAAGATGGTAAAGTAAAAGGTGTTATTATAGGTTCAATTTTGTTTGTCCACGAAACTGCTTTTGATTCACTTGATATTGCTTGTCGAGCCAATGTTACAAACTGAGGTGATATTAATATATGAGTTTGTTCAAATATCTGTTGTACCTTTTCCATGACAGTATAACAACCCGTATCGTGCTCTATCATAGTTTCTATTTCTTTACAAGAACTATTGTCGTCGTCGTCAAAGATACAATCGGTATCGCTAGCTCGAAACCACAACCATTGTCTCATCCAAAAGCGTATTTGAAAAAAGTGACGCGCTTGTATTTTGGGACCCATGCTTATAGCCCAAAACTCGTAATCGTGAAGCCATTTAGGATAACGTATTTTATCGTGAATGACTGCCATATAACGTATATTCGTATACAAGTAATCATCGTAATACCAATCAAAAGTAGGAGGTCGAGTATAATATCTATGACCCACTAGTTGTCGTGATAATTCTATGAGTTTTATATCGAAATTCTCTAACGCTTCTGCCATAGCTGTTCACGCGTTGACGTTCATACATAATCTTTCCCCCTCACAACGTGCATGACGCGACAACACAACAAACATGGGGGATATTAATACCCGGGTATTTTTATGAATTAATCGCACAATGTCTATGGCAGATTGCAAATGATCGTCCTCTCGTAAAATCTTTTCTATGATAACCTCTTCGTGCTCGTCAAAGGGAGCAATTGCCGAAGATCTATCAAACACAACGTGAAATTCCCGCCAAAAACGTAAACTAAAATGTTGTCGTGTTTGTATCACGGGACCCCTGCTAGTACAATAATATTCATAAGGAAAATGCCATTTGGGTACACGTATTGCATCGCGTATTGAAGCTATGTAACGCGTATCGCCATACAAATAATCCTCACAGTACCAATCAAATGTCGAACGATGATCGTGTACAATGTGATGTTTCGCTACCATATCAACAGACAAATGTAAAAGAGCATTGTCAAAGCGCATTGTTGCAGCATCCATAGTCAACATTGTACTAAAGGTGTTTATTTTTTATTTAGGGGTGTGTCGCACAAGACTATAATCGTCATATCGAAACCGCATCCGACGAGGAAATTGAATGGGCAATTATTCACAACACAAATCCAAAAATTAAATTTTTTCAAGTAGAAGATCAATAAGCTAAATACTGGTCTAAAAACAAATACATATCGTTTGTTTTACCATGCGGATAATAATGTTCGTATAAAATATATGTACTATCTAAAAGATTGTCAATATCCTCGAATATGTAATTATTATTTACTTTTAATATTATAATATATTTTAAAAATAATAATTTCGCATACTCGTAAGTCAGCATGTTCATAATTCTAACACCGTCTCGTTTCCATACGGGTAATGTAATTTTACCCTCGGTACATTTAGATAGTTCATGTTGAGTGAGATACATTAATATACGCTGAAATAATTCTCGTTGACTCATCTTTTTACTCGTTTTACAACGCGAGAATCTTTGTCTTGTTTGCGCTTGTTCAAACTTACAACATACTCCCCGTCGTATCCACGCACAAATAACTTGTCGAGAAATTGTCCCAAATATTGTAGAATTGTTATTTTGTCTGGGCTCACTATATTCCAAATAGCTCGTACATATTTCGACTCGTATAAAATATTGTCCTCAAAGGGTAATCCTTGGGTCTGTAAACTAGGTGGGGTTGCTAAATACAAAACGTCTTTAAAGCGATCTTTATCCACATACAACACACGAACCACGCTGTCTTTGATACTAAAATCTAAACGTAAAGAATTCATTTTTTTAACCCTTTACAAATTTAACAAGCACATAGGCCGATGTACACGCCAGAACCACGACAAAAACTTCTTCGATTTTTAATGAAATCGTAAAACTAAAACCCTCTTTCGTTTTCGTAAACTTGCTATCCATGTTGCTTGCTGGGGAAAATATCGAACACGATGGGTAAAAAATCAAAACACATGCACACTCCATATAAGGTAATTTAGTTATGTGTGGAATGTTACAGTCAATGCAACATCTATAAATATAACATTCTAAAACATGTCCAATACCAAGAAAAACATGGCTGCTCAAATTAACCACTATACAAGAATGACCGAAAGAGAGCGTAAAATATTAGAAACGCTCACAAAAAAAATGTGTGTAAGCGAATTATGCCAACATTGTGAACATAGTACGACACACGATCCGACCAAACATTACATGTTACGGTATTGTAATGAATGTCGTGTCTCTGTATTTCATATGATGCACGATGCCATGAACAAAGAATACGACGAAAAAGCCGAACTCATCAAAAATGACAACACGCGTCAAGAATATATGCATACGGGACGAGTACACTGTTGCGACCCGCCAATGTTCGAATGTCTTCATCTGAACACAAATAAAAAATTTAACAGTATCTATAGCACGCTTGACGATGCCATAAAAGATTACGTAGAATCCTATCACGAAGACGAAATGACACGAATACTACAAGTACAGAAAAAATATCGTATAGACCAAGAGGTTAAAGTACTCACTCAATTATACCCTCACGTAAACCGAGACGAACTCGTTAAAAAACTAGAACTAGTTGAAGATACTCGAACCCCACAATTTATATGGTTGGGACCTATTGGAACTATGCATTTCTATTTACACATAAATAGAAAATACATATTCAGATCCTCAAAAGCGGAGCTCGACAAAGCCGTCGAAGAATATGAAAAACTAGAACACTGGACTTCGTGGATGTAAACTTACCTGTAAATTTAAAAATAAACTTTTTTCAGAGGACAATCTGGATCTTGCGGAACTCGTGTATCAAATATCAAAGTAGCTTCTTTATCGGTGCAAAAACCTTAAAAAAACAACTATTAGAAAACAATATAATAAAATAAATAGTCTAGTAAATAAACCTATACCTTCTTTAGCCCTCTTTATCATTTCTTGCCGTTGCTCTTCCGCTACACGTTTTACTTTTACTTTAGTTTTGCGCGTTTTCTCCAATTGATGCCAGTGCTCGAGATTTACACCCGTGCTTTTCTCAAATTGTTGTATTAACTTGTATACTTTTCCCCCTAGCGATTGCATCAACATCTTATGGCAATTTGACACCCCCACAAACGCTACGCCACCCATGGGAGCAGGTGTAGATTCTCTACATTTGGGTACTTTAATACAATCTAGCATTTCAATTTGTATGCGGTGTAGCAAAATATTATAGAAATTATCTGAACCCAATATAAAATCGGGTATCAAACCCTTTTCAAACAATATTTTTTCTAAGACAACCACATCGATACCGTCGGCAAAGGATTTGTCCTTTAACCACGAAACAAGACACTCTTCCCACTTGGGTATTGCCTCCATTGTAAAACTTTTCAACCCCTTTGAAGTGTGTCTCTTTTATATTCTTAACACGTCATCATAACAACAGTCGATCTCGATTAAATCGGGGTCTGTCGTGTGATTTTTCTGAAAATATACTCGTTTTTTCTCTTCATTAATGTACTTAATATATTTTCTCTCAGGAATTTTACTCATCAGAATTTTAATCGTCACTTCAGCCACGACGGAAATCTTAATATCTTCGGCAGACATCATAAAAAAACAATGTTAACCCGATGGTTTGTTGCATGAGATTGTTTTCTATTTACTAGATAGCAATCTCATGTAGCACATCGTCGGGCAATTCCAATCAACAAGGACACACGAATATATTATGAATGCAAGACGTTCAAATCAACAAGGACACACGAATTTTCTATCCAAAGTCATCCAACATCTTTTATGGTTTCCATAAGATGTTGGATGACTTTGGATTGATTGTAAGAAACATCAAAAGTATGCATGTAGTAGGAGTGTCTCCATCTTAAGGTGAGAATCGAACTCACTTTGACCTGGGGTTTGATAGTCTCTTGCTCCCTAACCGGCAATCAGTTAAGTTTCTGAGAAAAGGCATCCCCAACGCGTTTACCCTTCCGCCACAATAGATGGCCGTACGACTAACACACGCACACATATAACAAACTTTTTATTTCTGTATTTATACACGTCTCACTTACAATGTGTAATTATTACGGTATAGTTTGTTTTTAAAAAATCTCTCTTATATAGTTCACTTTTTATCTATTCCATCGAGACGAAGAAATAGTGCGCTCTTCTAAATCTCTATATAATTCACTGTACTTTTTATATTTTCCATCGGGACGAAGAGATAGTACACGCACACGATACAATTTTCTCGCTAACTCGGGCGTCTTCATAAACTCTCGCTCTTGAATACCCGTCGCAGGTAAATAATCAACACCCCAAAGATTTAATATATCAGCAAACTCTTCGCACGCACGAGTATAAAAACCAATCTGCAACAACTCGGGAACCTTTTTCTCATAGTATTGCACATCTCGACTATTATGATTCATCTCACAAATTTCTCGATCCACACGATACGCCAAAATCTCTAAAAACAACTCCACTTGGTCTTCGTGGGTACCTGTCCAATCAACGGGAGGTGTCAGTGCCATTTTTTTTAAGTTCTCTTTCCCACAAACATGTGTGTTTCTATCGCAAATATTTAAATCTGATCATTTTTAAATGATCAATTTCTTAACGTGGAAACACAATTTGTTTATACTTGTCGTATATTAAAGTGGAAACACCACACCGATGTGACACGTACAAAAATTTTATAAAATCATCTAGAATTTCATTTTCTCCAGATGTACCCAGATGTTCGGCAGTATATAGATAATGTGATATATCAAGCTCGTTTTTTTTTAACGGTTCAACCATTTCAACCCAATATTTCCAAGACATTATTTTACCCTCTAATTTTTTTTCAAAAAGTAAAAAAGCCTCGGATTTGTACATAATATCCAATTTTATTTTACGTTTTTCCTCCCACTCGTCTAAACCCTTCCAGTCGATTTCGTTCATTGTTTGCAAATATGTTCGTGTAGCCATTGCAAATATACGCACGCACACTCGTTGAACACTAGTCGTAAATAAATAAAAATGCCTAACACCAGTAACACCACCCCTGATGATCGCAAACACAACGTGACGCAAAAGGACTAACTTTTTTAGTTTCGTTATCTCGAAGTCTTTGTTCTGCTATTTTTACATCTAACCAACGAATCATTTGACACGCCATGCAAGCACAATTGCATAAACACGTCACGTCTTCACCCCTGCAAATACACATGCAACTGTCTATTTGAACACTAGTCATGACTGAAGTTTCTCCGGACAATGTATTTTAAATTCTTCAATCAAACCTTTTATAGCGTTTCTAGCTTCCTCAGTTTGTAACATCACTCGCATATTACGACGTATTTGCTCTGGGGATACGTAATTATCTCTAGTATCGAAATACATTTGTCCTTCGTCTTCATCCGAACTATATTCGTGCTCGTCGGCATGCTTTCGCTTACTCATCGCGCTTTATTTGATCTAATAAATAAAAAACACTCTCGTATATATGTACAAAATTTACGCAAACACATTTTTGACAAAAAATATTTTATTACTATCACAATCGACAACTAAACATGTTTCACTACAAAGTCACATTCTTTTACTAATTTATCAGCACTGTCCTTCTCAAAATGTTTGTTCTCACAATGTTTTTGGAGTAACTGATCATAGCCACAGCTAAACAACACAAACTCCTCGTCCGCCGAATCGACAAACTCCTCGTCCGGATCGTCAAGCTGCTTGTAGCCATGAAGCATTTCGTCGCGTTCTTTAACACCGTCGCTCCACGCCCTCTCGAACCATTCGTTGTTTCTCGTAAACACAAACTCCTCGTCCTCGTCGTCGAACCAATCGTCACTATCTCCGCACAGCAAGACCGTACCCTTCCCCTCGAAAATTTCCTTCGCATCTACCCATTTCTTCGTACAACTACCACAGCTACAATTCTCCCCGCATACTTGCGCCATCTTTTTTATTTTTTAAACTGTATTCGACGTCAAACAAACTGTATTTGAAACTCATGTTACACATTTACGCATTTTATATACTGCAACTTCCACTTTGAACTTCAACTTCTTTTTACTTCAACTTCCACTTCACACGACCGCGAACTTAAAAGCCCGCCAACTTTCGAATCCCAGCACTTCGGTCGACCATGGCTTCGGAGTAACATCTCGCCCCAGACCCCCAAAACGTTCTCGTAAGAACGCGCGCGGCGCCCCCCCAACTCGAAAAACAAACCCCGGCCACCCGAGAAACGAAAACATTCCACAAGTCATGTGACCACTAAAACTCCCCCCGTCCGTACGGCCCGCCACGCCCATAACCACGCCCTTCGGGGTGCCCGAGCGTAATACAATTTCCAGTTCTTTTTTCTTGGTTCCCACACCCCCTCATTATTTTCATCATATAATTACATACTCTACTGGGATACAGCTGTTAGGATTTTCTTTACTGACTCTACAAAAGGCTTCGACTTAATTGACCATAACATTCTGCTCGCCAAACTTGCAAAACTCGGAGTAAGCGATGTCCTAATACGGTGGATTGCAGCCTTTCTAACAAACCGTAAACAACGAGTAAGGGTAGATGGAGTCCTTTCTGAGTGGAAATATCCTAAAGGAGGAATACCGCAAGGCACAAAGTTAGGCCCGTTATTATTTGTAATAATGGTTAACGACTTAGTTAAAAATTGGCCAGGAAGAGCAAAGTTTGTTGATGATTTAGACGTAGTAGAAACAATCCCGCGGAACTCAATAAGTGTGATGGATTTGGTAGCAAGAGAAATTCAACAGTATTGCATGGACCATAAAATGAAGTTGAACCCCAAGAAATGCAAGGAGATGTTTGTAAATTTTATGACAAACCCGAATATATTAAGTAGGGATTTAGTCGTTAATGGTACCCAAATAGAATCCGTTGATGCGTACAAATTGTTAGGTGTTATGCTCGGAAGTAATCTTAAATGGAATACGCAGGTTGACGACAAAACAAAAAAGGCGTGTAAAAGGTTGTATGCATTAAGAGTACTAAAGAAGGCTGGATTGCAGGAAAGGGAACTTGTTCTAGTGTATAAGTCGATGATTCGACCTATTCTAGAATATGCTGTTGAAGCCTGGTCTGACTTCCCACAGTATCTATAAGTGACAAGTTGGAAAGAGTACAGAAAAGAGCTCTCTGGATTATATATCCTGGTAGTGACTATGGCGAAGCATTAAAGATCTCTAAATTGGAAAGTCTTAAAGACAGGAGAGTAGACTTATGTAAGAAGTATATAAATAAACTTAAAGATCCGTCCCATACTCTACATCATTTAACAAAAACATACTATACGAATACACACGGTTATAACCTAAGATCAGGAAATCAGAACCAAATAGGCGTAAGAAAGATCCGGACTGATAGATGTAAAACATTTTTAACATATAGATATAAATAGTAACAAAAATTTCTATTTTATAATATCTGTTCCTTATATAGTATATTTATATAATTTTATTGCTTTGTAAATATTTTATTGTTAATATAAACTTGTAAATCGCTTACAATTTAATCCTGTAATTACAAGAAGCGAAATAAACGAGAGATAAAGGCCCAGATTGGCTGATGAAAGGTCGTGACCAGTGGCCAAAGATGAAGACAGAAAACCGCCCCGAGAACCCACCAGAGATCAGATCGACTCATGCCAAAAGCGTCAGCAACATCACATTAGCAACATGTGCAGAAAAGAAGTTGGATTCCGAACAGGAGCAGAACGAATGGAGATTGGATCCGAGACGCTTTTCCGATTGGTCGCGGTTGACAAGGTTACAAGCCAGAGTTCAAAGAGCGCTGTTCAACATGCGTCATAAGGGCCAAAGACGAACTGAAAAGGAACTCACTTCAGAAGAACTCAGGGAAGCTGAAATGGAAGTCATTCGTGCCGCTCAGAGTGAAGTTTTTGGTGCCGAGTACAGTGAAATCAAGAAAGGAAGACCTGTTGAGATTGGGAAAACCAGTGCTACGGTTGCAGAAGAAGACGGAATAAGCCAGCCAGCCAAGTGATGGCCCCGCTTCCAGGTGTGAGATTGCGATTCACCTATCGGGAGTTTGATCAATGTGCAGTAGATTTTGGTGGTCCGTTTATCACCATTCAGGGTCGTGGTCGAAAGAGACAGAAGCGGTATCTATGCGTGTTCACATGTCTATCAGTCAGAGCTGTACACCTGGAGATGGCATGGTCGTTGGACACAGATGCATTCCTTAATGCATTCGCTCGATTTACCAGCAGGAGAGGAGTACCCAAGGAGGTTGTAAGTGACAATGGTACTAACTTCGTTGGTGCGGTAAACGAACTGAAGGAGCTTGCTGGTCAGTTAGACGAAGAGAAAATCAAACGGAAAACTTCGGATAAGAGAGTTCGATGGTTGTTCAACCCGCCTGCCGCCCCACACTTCGGGGGAGCTCACGAAATAATGGTAAAGGCTGCAAAGAAAGCGATATACGCAGTATTAAGCAACAGTGATGTCAATGATGAGGAATTGATCACCATCTTTACCGGAGCTGAGAGTCTTATAAATTCCAGACCGTTAACGTATCAGTCTGCCGATGTTCGTGACTTAATCCCGCTGACTCCAAATCATTTCCTTTATGGCCAGATGGGTGGTCAGTTTGCCCCTGAAGCTGAAGAAACGACTGGATTTCATCCACAGCAACGGTGAAGGAAAGTGCAACATCTAATATCGTTGGTATGGCGACGCTGGTTGAAGGAGTATTTACCGATGCTTACTATCCGTCCTAAATGGACACAAGTGGTCAAGGATTTGCAAATCGATGACGTTGTGTTAATTGTGCAGCCAAATCTTCCTCGAGGACAGTGGGCGTTGGGGAGAATTCTTAATACCTTTCCAGGCAAGGATGGACACAACAGAGTTGCTCAAGTACAAATTGGGGACAAGAGTCTGATGCGACCAATACACAAGTTGGTTCCCTTAAATTGTTGAAACGTTTGTCAGTTGATATATAGATTTCTATTCGCACTTGAACTTGATGTTCCCAGTGCGGGGAGGGGGAATGTTAAGGAGAGTGGACAACTATTAATATATATATTGTTTACATTCATATTAAAATAATTAGTGTTTTGGACGAGCAAAAGTACTGGGACGAGAGCGTGTTCGTGGTTCGAAAACTTATCGTAAAAGGTTTATTTATCGAAGAACAAAAGTGTTATTTTCTCGTTTATTTTATAGTTTCTTATTAAATTGTTTATGAGTTTATTATTATACCGAGTGGAGCTATCGTCTACTAAACAGGTTGTGTAAACATCACACAAAAATATCGGTAAATTTACACAAATGAAATGCATCCACAGCAACACATAATTTTGTGTAAAATTGCACTTTATACATTGAATCATTGATTGTGTAAACATTACACAAAAATATCGGTAAATTTACACAAAAATATCGGTAAATTTACACAACTAAAATGAATCCACAGCAACACATGAGATAAAAATATATGCATAAAGATAACAATAACAGATATAAACATACACCAACAGGCTCCAATATTCCCAACGTTTCCTGCAACATTTTAATTTCGATCTTCAACTAAGTGGTGTAAGGGCCTGTTCATATGATCCCGCTTACCGGGACGTCTCGCTTACCGAGACGAATATTTCCGTGCGTTCATATGGAGTATTTCGTCCCGCTTGCCGAGATGAAATTACATTGTAGTTCTATAATTAGCGTATGCAAAACTTCTACATTTCAGTCAAGCAACACAAATACTTGGCGATTTTAGTGTTTTTCTTCGTTTATTTACAAGAAAAAGTATTGCTTCAGGTGGTTATTTAATACTTGTTTACAAAACAAACATAAAACCAAGTAAAAAGTGTTAAATTAAAGCGGCAAGACTTGTTTCACTTCATCCCGGTAAGCGGGCTGGCGTGTTCATATGGAAAATTTTCATCCCGCCTACCTATGATCTCGGCAAATTCAAACGAGATCTCGGCAAGCGGGCCAGTTCGCTTTCTCATATGAACACAATGCAAAATTTTATAGGAAAATAGATAGGCGGCGAGATCATCGGTAAGCGAGACGTCCCGGTAAGCGGGATCATATGAACAGGCCCTAAAGTATCAAAAGTGCTACTCTTATGAAATTTATCAAATATGTAGCTATACACCATTAATTAATTATATATACTGTATTTTAATATATAATCTTCGTTCACTGTACAAAATACACGCACGCCATTGGTCAAAATCGATCACGTGTGTTTTTGTTACCTGGCAACAACGAATTCTGCGAGTGCATTATTGACAATAACGCATAAAAAACGTGCATTATTGAAAATGGCTTCCCGCAAGGCTGTCGGTTCAAGGTTTACATGAGTCAGTGAAGACGAAATTAATCAAATTGTAGATAATGCAATGTCTAAAAGTATAAAAAGCCAAACAAACTGGTGCATTGTCATCTTTCAAGGTAAATAAACGTAGCAAAAACTGACTTTTCACGATTTTGTCGCGTGTAAAATTCCTGCTTAAAAAGTCTAGTCGGGTTTTTCATTGTATTTGCTGTCTTGTTTTAAAAACAGTTGTACGCAATTATTTTGCAATGTAGGCTACTTAAAATTAGACTATTGGTAAAAACTTGTGATGAAAATGTGTTAATAAATGTTCTTTTCCAAACTGGAATTGCTTTGTTTTAATTTTGTTTTGTTTTGTTTTGTTTACAAAAGGCGTACAGTAATTGCATGCAAGCAGTGAACTCAGATAATATATTAAATGGGTTAGAGACTTTAAGTTCGTGTTTTGTTTACAAATACATGCACTTGCTGACTGTACAATGAACTCGAAATTTTCAATACTGCACTCGGCTTCGCCTCGTTCAGTATTGAAAATTTCTCGTTCATTGTACAGTCAGCTCGTGCATGTATTTGTAAACAAAACACTCGCATCAGTCTCTAACCCTTAAATACACTGTAGCACGAGTTCGTTGCACATGTTCGCCACTTCTGCTATGATTAAAAAGCTTTCGAAAATCTCCATTTATTAATTGAAAAAAGCTAAAAATGACAGGATATAACATTCTTTACAGTTTTTCCATGTCTTTTCATTGTTGACTTTTTGAGATTGGTTTGAAAAGCAAATACTAAAACATCTTCTCGCTCTAAATGGCAGCTTCAACACTGTCCCTATAGTATTATTTGTCGTCTTTAGTAAGCATTTCATATTGTGTAGTAATACGTTTTACTCGAATCACATCCATTATTTTACGATGTCGATGACTTCGTATCACAGGTGTACCGTAATACGGCCTTGAGTCCGTTCCATATCTGTTTACAATGTCTCTTCTTGCCTTCAACATTTCGCGAAGTGTAACGGGGTCGAGCACACAGCTCGTACGAAAGTACAGTATTGTTGCTGAACATGTAATGATTGTTAACATACAGCCAAGGAAAACGATAGCGTTCACTTCCCCATCATCATCATCCAAGCTCATGGTTTTGCCGTTGGTCAGTGTACTGTTTGGTTTTTCGAATATTATTTCCTTTCAAAATATTGATATATTCGTATATGTGAAGAACTGTGGACGGTACTCTCGATGCTTTCGCTAAATAAGGGAAATGTTCGAAATTTTTAGGAAAAAATTGCTTTTGTTTAATATATTCTTGCTTACTCTCCTTTAAAGTTTGTTGTGGTATTAATTGGGGCTTCGGTGGCCAAGTGGTTAGCGCACTTGCCTTTCACCTCTGAGGCCGCAGGTTCAAGCCTCAGTGAGAACTCTCTCAATGCGACTCGAACCCAGTCCTCATGTGAAAAGAGTAAAAGTCAACGCTCTGCCGTAAGTCGTGGGTTTTCCCCGCGTACTCCGGTTTCCTCCCACAGGGAAAGTTGACAGGGTGGGTTAGGAAAAAAGTGCTCACAGTTATTGGCATATGCTGTTGTGGTGACCCTGCCCTAGTTGGCGAAGCTAAATATATAAATAGTGCATATTTAGCGGTGTATAGATATATACTTGTGAAAAGTTGCTTTTTCTTTTTTCGAAATATTGTGATGGGCGTTTTAATGTTTGAGGGTTGTTTATTTTTTTATCTTTCTTTAATCAATGTAGATGGTCGGTATGACGTCCTTCAGAATGAGGCAATTTTTCAAATCTCTATATGACTTTTGTAGTTTTCGGTATTTTAGTTTTTTGAAATTGCATAATTTCTTTAAATAAGACACTGAATGTTTTAGTGATACTAATTTCACCACAGCTGGGCAAATGTTCAATACTACAATAGTTTTGAAGTTTACAGTTATTCAGTGAATATATTTTGTTCGACTGAACTGGTAGGCACTGCACGCTTCGCATGCATTAAAAGTGAACACTACTTCAACGTCTTGGAAATTTCTGACTTTGTTGAAATTTATTAGTTCCAGCGAAGTGTTGCAAATAACTAACCTTGCAATTATATATATGATCTCTTCTCTATACGCGTTGTTGATGCGGTTTATATCGTAAAAGTGCTGGAGCGTTGCTGTATTCGTCACAGCGCACTGAATGTTAAAAAAACTGTTTGTTTTGTAAAGTTGACAATGCTTTTAAACTTTCTGCACTCAAAATGTCAGCACCGAGACGTTATATAGCAGTCCGTCTTCACTTGTTAATTGACAAAGTTTTAAAATTGTTACCGCCAGACAGATCTTGATGAATTAGCCAAATTTCCTTCTGTGTGTGATCCAGTTAGATCTAACAGTCCATTTTCAATCCTTAATGAAATTAGCCAACACTACTCTTGTTCTTGGATTTTGTCTCAAATTTACAACTTGTTTGAGTTGTATAGCTGAAGCGTATATATTATATAATTATATATATAGGCAACAAATGTCAATTTACATTTGTTCCACTACAGTAAATGTTTTCATAACTGTTTTGAACATTTAGTCATGCAGTATAATTGTGTAGTTCATTGAAGCTCGACCATGCCTTATTCAAGCGAATTTTACCAACCGTTTAAATAACGCGACAGCTACCAAATAGTGCAATACCATTTTTACCAAAATAGCCGAACAATGACGGTAAAAACCATAAAACCTTTCGCTTTAACGTGTTTGGTATAAAATCGGTTTTAAATTAAAGTAGTCAAATGCATGGCCTTTCTCCCTTTTATAAAAGCGTTATAGAGTGAAATATTTTGATTTACAGGTGGGAAAATGGTTGGCTTCCCTGCCGGAAAATTTTGGACACAGTGTTTGCTCATGCTTATTCGCGCGTTTGCAAGTTTCGATTTTTAGTCAAGGTTTTTAATTTATGTTAGTTTAAGCACGACAAAATAGGCTCATAAAAATAGCCTGTATAAGTAAACAACGAGTGAAGAACTCGCGCAAACAGGGGAATATAGTCAGCTACAAACGAGTGGGGTTCTAATCGTCCGGCCCTCGTGAAATTTTTCTATTTTCTTCACAATTCCGTATCTTGCTTGGTTTTCGAAATAAATCGACTTATTTTGATCAAAAGCAGCGTGCATTCCGCCATCTTGGATATGTATTCGATATGCATGCGTCACAAGTCGGGTAAAAAGCGAAATTTTTTATCTTGCAAACCACATGTCATTATAATATGAAACTCGATTTTCCGAAGTCTTTTTAGTACTCAATTAACTCTCAACCGTTTAAGAAACTTTTCGAAGAAATTTAGTCTCTCATGAAGAAGTTTTCACAAGTTCACCATGCTTGTGACGTCATCGAAACATCTAAAACGTTGTATAATACCAAGATGGCGGACTGCACACTGTTTTTGGTCAAAACATTTCGAAAACCGTGCAAGGTACGAAAAAGTTGTAAACAATTCAAAAAATTCAAAATTTTATTAACACTGTTTCATATCATTACATTTTTTTTTAAAAAGTACAGGAAGAAAAATAAAGTATATTGTAGGAGTTAAAGATAATTAAATATATGAAATTTCAAACCAAAAAAGTAGTAGTGAGCGACAGCCAGAGGAGCAAAGCTTTCGAGCTGGTTGCCGGAATATATAACTTTAAAAGTTCTTTCAAATAAGACAAAGTTAATTTTTATTGCCATATCCCTTCAAAAGCCTTCTTTTGTGATTTTGATCGGTAAAATTGGTGCTGCTACAATGGCCAACTTGCATGTTAGACTAAATTTTAATCTAAGTAAAGAGAAGGGAATCAAACACCATAGCTAAAAAGTTCTTCAAAAACTCATTAATAATTCAGGAGCAAAACACAAAGAAAAATCATAAGCGTGTCGTGGTTTTATATGTGATAAAAAATCATGTTAATTTACATAAACTTTAGCTTTGATTTTCTCGGTTTAGACAAGGTTTATTTTAAAAATTACTTCGCCAATGAACTCGTATAAGATGAGTCGTTTTTTAAGCCATTTAAAGCACTTGTAGTCGTGTTTTATCACATATAAAACACTCCGCTACGCGTCGTGTTTTATATGTGATAAAACACTCCTACGCGTGCTTTAAATAGTACATAATGAACTTAGTAAAATTGCCAAATTTAGTTGCGAAATGTTGTAAAGCTTGGAAAATATAGTCTTGCAAATTTGCAAGTTTTGTTTGTATTACGTGCGGAAATTGTTATCATTTTCGGCTCAAAAATGGTAACAATTTCCGCACGGAATACAAAACATATACAAAATATGCAAACTTCGGAAGGCTATATCAGGGCGCTTTCCATTTAATAGCCTGACTGGTCAGACCCAAATTTTTTTCTCTGTATCAATGGAAAGATCTGGTGTATGTTTCTCAAATATCTAGCGAAAATGGACCTCATTCTAATGTTGTCAAGATTTTCCGGTCAGATAGGTCCGAAGCCCAAATCACAGAATAAAGATCAGTAACAGAAGGGCGGTGCAACGTGTCCGCGTTTTTTTATGCAAAAATAATTATGCAGTTTACTGGCCAGAAGTACAGCGTGTTTATTGGCCAAGAAATGTGGCATCGACTATTTCGCTAACCTCAGAATGACATTTCGTCGAAACTTTTTTCTTCAAGATTGGTTTAGAAACAAATTTGGAGTAGGGTTAGGTTAAGGTTAGGGTAAGGATTAGGGTTATGGTTAGAGTTGGTGTTTGGAGTGGGGTTAGTGTTAGTAAAACCGTTGCTTTGTTACGTTTTGTCACTCTGAGGCCAGCGAAATAATCTCTTCCAAGAAATGTCATTGACTGGGTAGGAAAATGGCGGCCAACATGCGTAATGCGGCATGCGCGAGGACAGAAACTTCAAAGCTTCCGACGTAAGTGGCCCTTCTATATGGATCTTTATTCTATGCCCAAATGTTTTGTGTTTCATTCAACAAATTGACCGGTCTGGCCGTGTTAATGGAAAGCGCCCTCAGTTTCCGTATTTTACAACATTTCGAAACCAAATTTTGCAATTTTACTAATTTTAACAAGTACTTTACGGGAATTTACTTTTTTTGCCTAGATAAAAAATTAGTCTAACATGCAAGTTGTCTATTAGTTCAGGAGAAGCCAGAGGAGAAAGGATAAAATGGGGCCTTTATGAGTGAAATATAGAGACTGACCCTATTTTGTTTCGGGGCCCTGATTAATTATATTAAATTTGTGTGTACTATAATCTGGACATGTATCACAAGTATTTTATCTTGTACAGGTAAGATAGCAGCATGCAGCGCAAAGAATACACTAATGGTGCATGCTATAAGGCATCAACTATTTCGCTGACCTCAGAATGACATTTCGTCAAAACTTTTTTCTTCAAGATTGATTTAGAAACAAATTTGGAGTAGGGTTAGGTTAGGGTAAGGATTAGGGTTATGGTTAGAGTTGGTGTTTGGAGTAGGGTTAGTGTTAGTAAAACCGTTGTTTTGTTCCGTTTTGTCACTCTGAGGCCAGCGAAATAATCTCTTCCATGCTATAATTATACACTTCGAGCTTTTCACGAACACTGTATGGACGTCTGACAGAAATTAATTAAAATTACACTTTCAAATTGCAAAACAATTTTATGGAAAGTGATCGTTATATAAGTTTTTGTGATACTTCTTATATAATATTAGACATGATCTAGATCATGCAGACTGCAGGGGAAGTTATTTTTCCATAGTTTGGAAGGGGAAGTTAGTTTGGGGGGGGGGGGGGTTAGCAAGGGAAGTAAGCAGGACAAATTATGACGGTGCAACGGTGTAACGTTCCTCACAACCGGATATTGGTGTTTGACAGATTATAATTAATTAGCGTCGCTGGGGCAAATATAGATTTTTTGAGAGCGGCCAGCGTTGTGAATATTGTTGCACAAAGTTCAACATTTTTCTAACAATCCTACAACTAACTGTGTGCATCGTTTTCAAAATAAAATTGACTACGTATCCGCGTATCGACTATGGTACTAAACTAGTTATATATAGCTACATTACATGAACATTTGATATATCAATCTATTTATTATTAATATAATCTACGAATAACTATAGATTAACAAGTTCTGACCGCGTATCCAGTGAACAATTACTGATGAATCACCTTAACTAGAAGTTAATACTTCTGGGAAGCTGACATGTAACAATGTTTTTTTGGCACACACAACTAAATTGTGCAGGCAACGATCTACATACTTTTGCATTGTAACATTTAACTATTTTGCGCTCTCATGCAGAATAGTGCATCCTATGAAATCAATTAATAAATTCGTCTGATGAATTGTCAGATTTATTCATATTTTTACTGTTCATGTCAGTCAGTGATCCATCCGTGCGTCACGCATACTTAAAGGCAAACGGTGTGGTGTTACGCCCCCTACCGGATATAATTAAGCTGAAAATTATATATTTAGGACGGTTTGGTAAAAATGCGGGTGGCGGGTAGTTTAGCGAAGATTATCCCCCGTTATACTGTGTAGCATGAATTTGTTTGAGAAATGTGTTTAAAACGGTGGAACATATGGCCCAATATAAAATTGAACGTTGACTGCTACAAAGCTGCATCTTACAGGATACAAAGGAACATTTTAAAACAAAAACGCATAGGCTACAGACTTCTTGACTTACTAAATAATTCTCGATGTAAACAAATGAACATTGCGTTACATGTCTGTACTATAAAATTTGGATATATGAGTAACATGCACATTCTATGCATACCGAATGGGCGCCTAAGGGCGCACCCAATAGTTTCAGAAATCAAGCCACAGAAATATTTCCACAGAAGTATAGTCTCCACAATTTAGAAGCATGTTTAATGACGTATTACCACTACTTATCTTTCAAAGACTCTTCGACGCTAAGTCAGTAGTTTGTTTATGACGGAATCTTTGTTAGGACAAATGGACATAATTCCACTACGCCGTATCGTAGCGAAACGTACTGGTGAGCATGCGCAGATTGAAAAGAGGTTTATAAATCCACGTACTTTCGGGTGTATTCGCGTATCAAAATAAAAAGTTCGTCGCAAGTCAACTTTTTGGCGTACTACGGAAGTACTAACCAATCAACATTCACGAAATTTTGAAATTTAAAAACAATTTTGATACGTTTCGGTACGGTACGCTTGAAGCGGAAAACCGGCTTTAGTTTGACGTCCGCAAAAAAAAAATTGGCAGACAATTTTTTTGAAAGTGATAATTATATAAGTTTTTGTGATACTTATTTTATGATATTAGACATGATCTATATAGATCAGACTGCAGGGGAAGTAATGAGTTAGTTCTCTTTAGTTTGGAAGGGGAAGTTAGTTTTTAGTTTGGAAGGTGAAGTTAGTTTTGAAGGGGAGGTTAGTTTGGAAGGTGTATAGTGTTGTGGACACACCCCTCTCATGATTGACATATTATGAAACAGTAGGAGACAATGAGATTGTTTTTGCATGCATTGTAGATGGTGGGAAATAGCAAGAAATATACTTATGTTTAATTAAATTCAACCGACAACGGCGACGAGAATAAAGCTTTAAAACAACATTACGGAATGTCAAAATTACTTTAGAAGCTTATTTATAGAGAAAATAAAGATAAAGATGTTAAAAAAAAAATCGGACTTGATTTTGTTGATATTGGACAAGTTAAAGTTGCGTTTAAAAGAAAGGAGGGATGTAGTGTTGTTGACACACCCCTCTCACGATTGACATATTATGAAACAGGGGAAGTTAGCAGGGGAAGTTAGTTTTCTTTAGTTTCATCACTGATGCTTACAAGGACACAAAAAGTGTTTCAATCTATGATTTAACCATTAAGCTGTAACCCTAGCTTACTATTAATTTAGTAGAGGGAATTGCTGCTAAATGGATAAAGTAAAATTAACCGCTTTTATAAAACAATTCACATAATTATCTTCCAAATTTTTAATTGTGGACATTATGAAACAGGGGAAGTAGCAGGGGAAGTTAGTTCTCTTTAGTTTCATCACTGATGCTTACAAGGACTCAAAAAGTGTCAATCTATGATTTAACCATTAAGCTTTTTCTTTTGATGAGTACATTTGAGTGGCATTGGAATAACATACAGTCAGACAATTTACACTAGTTTACTTCATATTTTCAACATTCCTAATTAAAACCATAGATATCTTATATACACTAGATAGTCAGTGATCTAATTATTCTGCAATTCAAAAATTGAAGCCGTGATTGCAGACTCGGGATATTCCCATGAAATGAGAAGACTCGTATATTTTCTATTTCTTAAACAGGGAACTTAAACATTAAGGTAAAGCTATTCCAAATACATTTTCAAACTGTTCAAATGATGAAAATTATTGTTGTTTTTTTATTTTTTAAGCGTTTACTAGCGAGTGGGAAACTTCAACATGGCCGCCATCTATATTCAAATGGGGCTTGGCTTCAATTTTACTTAAAGAGATGCGCTGTCTATAGTGTATATATGATATCTATGATTAAAACTACAGCATTATGGTAATGAGTTTAAACTAAATAAGTAAAACCATCTATCATCAGGGACAATTGCTAGCCCTGTTTCGGTGGGGAGTGTAACTAAAAATTTGCCGACTGGTTTCCCCTTTTCAGTTGTTTAACTCAAATATTTGCGAACGAGGTATTTTGAAAACGAGGCATGCAGTTAATTTAGCATTAATAGGTCAAATTGTCATGCTATAGTTAGCTCTATATTATAGTGGATACGTGACACTCCTTTTTGGAGACCAGACCATGTTTTCTGATGCTGTCGTCCGATTTTCTGTGATCGCTGAAAGATTATCACGCGCGTAAAGTTCGCTTAGGAAGACTAAAGGCGTTTTCCACTAGGCGGAATTTTCCGCGCGGAGCGGAGTTTCTCTTTGGCTTTTCTAATTAGTTCCACCCAAGAAATCACAAGACAAAGAAAAATTTATCTTATACTTAAGAGAGGAAACACATTGCTTGCGCATTTATTATATGCATTGTTTAGTATGACCGTGTAACGTTGTGATGTTCCTCACAACCGGACATTGGTGTTTGACAGATTATGATTAATTAGCGTCGCTGGGGCAAAAAAAAGATTTTTGAGAGCACCCAGCGTTGGAAATGTTGTTGCACGAAGTTCAACATTTTTGTAACAATCCTATAGCATCAGAATTTAATCTATTACAGTAATGCTAACTAACTGTGTGCTTCGTTTTTCAAAATGAAATTGACTACGTATCCGCGTATCCACTAAACTATATATTGCTAGCTACCTAACATGAAAATTTGATCTATCAATCTATTTTTTATTAATATAATCTATTGAAAATAAATGTAGATTAACAAGTTCTGACTGCGTATCCAGTGAACAATTACTGATGAATCACCTTAACTAGCAGTTAATACTTCTGGGACGCCGACATGTATAAGAATGTTTTTGGCACAAACAACTAAATTGTGCAGGCAACGATCTACATACTTTTGCATTATAACATTTTAACCATTTTGCGCTCTCGTGCATCATAGTGCATCCTATGAAATGAATTAATAAATTTGTCTGATGAATTAAATTCTCCCAACCCATTCTCCAGATCATAGTTAGATTTATTCATATTTTCACCGTTCGTGTCAGTCAGTTGTCCATCCGTGCGTCACGTATACTTGAGGCAAACAGATTACGCCCCCTACCGGATATAACTATGCGGAAAATGATATATATAGGACCAAAGTATTATGATTACTGCGCACAGCTGACTTACTAGTTATCTGTACAGTGCAACAGAAAGGGTAAGGATAAAACGCGGATACGGACGGACGGACGGACGGATGGCGGACGGACGGACGGACGGATGGCGGACGGACGGACGGACGGATGGCGGACGGACGGACGGGGGGGACAAGCGGATGGACGGGGGGGATCAAATCCGCGTTTTTTAGGAAATGTAATTAAGACTATTATTAATCGTAATAAATTGTCGAAAAAATAATAAAATATTAAATTGTGGAAATGCGGGGTTTTTCGAACCTTTGTAACGCTGAAAATTCTAATTAAATACGTTAGACATCTGCTTAAACTCGGGTCCAATTTCATTTGCGCAAATATCGCGTAATCGAGTGAGTATTTGAACGCGATAAAACAACTCGTACGAAGAAATATTAATACATAAGGTTTACTAACGTACTTGCCAATGTCGTATTTTAACAAAAGTCCAACTGTTTCGTCGGATGTAATCGAGGTGCATTCTTTCTCAATCTGATTAAATTATAAATGTAAACAATACTAAAGTTGAGAGAAATACTCATTACTGTGACAGCACGATTCCGATATAAACCCGCTTTGCCGATGTCAAATGTCCAATTAATTAATATATATGATTTGGTATTAAACTCACAAACAATTAGTTTCCAACTATATACGAAACCAGTAGTTTATAGGCTGTTTACAAACGCTAGGTTACATTAGTTTTTATCTGTACTTCCGCTTAAAAAGGTCAATTTTAAAACAGGGATTGTCTACATCAGCGACATGCATATAATCCCCAAATGCCGAGTAATTCTTATGAAAATTGCTCTTGCAAAGCACAAAGCTTGCGAAGTACAGGACAATGTGACAATGTCCACTTTGTATATTTGCGCACGGCTATTTAAGGTAATACGATATAGCTTTTGTCAGCATAGACTTTGACATGAAACTTCCTTTCGATCTTTAACTGCCACAGCACGGTTGTGTTTGTGAGGCAAGCGAAGCCAAATGTCGTTTTTTGGCAGTTTGGGGAAAACAAGCCAACCTACTCGCGAAACTGTTGATACGTCAGGATTGCCCAACTATTCGTATAGTTCTTTACTTGAAAAAGACGAAATTGGGGAAGGTGGTTTCGCGGTTGTTTTTACCGCGAAGCTGCCGGACAATGGAGCTAAGATTGTTGTGAAGAAGCTACTAGCGTCTGACAATGAAGCTAGGCAGTCGCTGGTTAAAGAAGCACGACTTCTTAGCAAGTTGCAACACCCGACTGTTGTCAGGTTTGAAGGAGTTTGTCTGGACAAGTACGCTGTGTTTCTTGAATATGTGTATTTTGATTTTACGCCAATCGGAAACGACGGCATCACTGTGCATAGCTTAGCCAATTTCTTGGCAGTTTGCGAACAATCAGATTGCCATGGCATGCATTGCTCGATATTTATTCTTCCTTGGACGTCGCGTTGGGTTTGAAGTATCTGCACGAGAAAGGGATTGCCCACCGTGACCTGAAACCTGAAAATATATTGGTGTCTAACCACCATTACAATCGTCTCACAGATACACGAGCAGTCGAATGCATGGCTTCCATTAAGCCACTCATATGTAAGCTGACGGACTTTGGTGAAAGTCGATCAAAAGACATCCACACCGAGCAAATCCTAAAATCGAAGACCGCACGGGTAAACCGAGGTGAGACCGCTTAATTTAATAACAATGTTTGAATCTTGTCGATCTAAAGGCCATGTTATAGGCCAATGGAATTAAATTAAGGTTTCAGTTTACCAACACCCGCCCGCGTCTACTTTTGACAACTGCGTGAAATTTTCATTATTTTATATTTTCTCATTTCCATTTCCCCCAATCTTTATAGTGTTTGATAAAGCTATTTTATGCAATACATCAAAATTCACTTAACAGATGCATTCGGAATTGGTTTGAAATAAGTCCACTGTCCACACGTTCTGGAAGTGTCGGGAAAAGCTCATGGTTGCGTTCCAAAAGTATAGTTGTAAACACACCTTTTTTCCACCATCCCTGAAATGAATAATTACTTTTCTTAATTTCGGTAAATAACCTTCGAAAGTTTAGCTGACGGCAAACTGATACCTTGATAATTCCGGCCGTTGGCATAAATACAGCTGGAACACTACCTTCAGATTTTAGGGTCATTGGTAAAGTGAAACCAAATTTTTTACTCCAATGACTCCCAAAGCCCCGCGACACGTGTCTTGACCACTCGGTCGCGTTTTTGCCATCATGCCTGGTCAAAACCGATAGTGGGAATGAAGATGCATATTTTGCATAAATTGCCTCGTGTAACATGACCTTTAGAGCAAGCAAGTTTATACGAGGGGCAGGACGGAACGTATCATTACAAGTATATTTATTTCATTTATTCCGTGTGATGCTTATAAAATCTTTAAAATTACGATATGTTTTAAGTATACTTGATTTTCAATACGTGCAAGTGTCATATAAAAAATTGATCAAAATTGCCAATATACAAATTTTGCTGGCCCATATCGGTCAACAAAGAAAACTTGCTGAAGCAATATGAGAATTTGCATGTGGTTAGCCAGCGGAATATTGTTGTGGCCTTTTATTGCGCGCTCGTATTGCCAGCTTTACGAATACATTGGCATTGCTGGCTGCTAATTGTCACATACTGGGTGTCTAAAAAACCGCTATGGAAATTCAACAGGCTGTCGTGGATCATAAACTTCGCTAACTACATTTCAATTTTTACACAGGGCGAAAGAACAGTTATTTAGCTTATTACGAAGTCAAACCGGGACCATTTCGTTTTGGTCATAGTATTATCATATGGTATTATCTAAAATAGATGTTTACATAAGACCGGGACGAAAATACTGAAAATTTGCCCCCCTCGAAAACATAGACATAGTTTACTTTATCGCTATATAAACTAGTTTCATATCTCGTATCTCTGAGAATGGTTCTGAAATATTATCGCTATAAGGCTATATAAGCTCGGAAATCGTGAAGCTTCTTCTAAAACCAAGATCCAGGGACCGCGGAGACGGGGGGGC